GTCTGGTTCAAAGGTAACTTGTGGTGTATGCAAACCAAGGTTAAGTGATGCCTCAAGTAATTGTAAAATATCAAGAGGCATCAAAGGGGGGAATGTGGTGGAATCTCGGTAAAAATAAATTTAGTAGGCCGAGATTACCACGTGGCATGTGTACGTGCATATGCTGACGTATCGATCAGTTGGTTGCACGAGGCAAGATACGATCAGTAGTGTACGGAGCATGTGCAAGAATACAGGATGTAGTATTCCCCTCCTCCATTGTGCTGGACAAGCCATGCGGTCAAGCAGGAAGTTAATTCTTATTTGTAATGATTGGTCAAGAGAATGTGCGGGTGGAGCTTAATATGGGAGGAGTTATGTGCCTATATAGGGAGCCTGCACTATTGTTCAGGGCTCAGAACTTGCTGTATTTTTGGTGACATTAGTCCCTCTGAGTCCCGATCGGTGATCCAATAAAGAATCTCTTCCTTCCTGAAGAAACCTGTGTCCATCCCTCTGTGCTTTGCTTCCGTCAGTTTCTCCGGTATCACTATTAGACTGGCTGAATGCGTGTGATTGACTGTGGGAGCAGCATCAAATCAACAGCTCAGGTCACATTGATCTCCAACTGATTGAGCTACACTGCTTCCCTTCAAATCAGAAGGACATTATGTGAAAATGGGAGGCACAGCTAAGGTTGAGTTATGTTGCAGAGAGAAGCAAAACCCTTTCATTTTTTAAGCAAAACTAAAGGTATTTGAACAGGGAGAAAATCACAGCATGAATATATGTATATGTAAAATGCATTCAAGTTATGTTGGTGACCAGAATGTTGCTTAACTATCTTCTATAATGCTAAATACAACCTTTGTGACAGCTATCAAGAAGTGTTCTTAAATAAGTCGAATGAAACCTATAATTAAGTGCCCCTTTCCCTCCTCTCTAATCCTACTCCTGTTATTACATCTCTACTCCTAATTATTCTGTAATAAAGCTTTTTAGATCAGCAATTAACAATCCTTTGTTTAAAACTATAGAATGTTTTTGGGAAGTCAGAAAACCACTATCCAAATGAATAGAGGACGCCTGCTTTAAGGTCAATAATAGACTGTTATTATTATCAGCATCTGTCTTACCCGGCCTCCAGAGGTAGTCTTATACTGTGTTATTATAAAATAGTAGTCTCATCTTTAAAAATTGTTCTTCTGACCTCACAAATAATGCAGAATACATACCATCTTTTGGAGGTGTTGCAGATTCTGTTGTTACTTCAAAGCCACTTCCTTTAGAAAGCCATTCTGACTCTTTCAAACCTAGAATTTAAAAAATGAATGCTAAAATGATTTGCTAAAAGGTATTAAACCTATTGCTGACAACTTTCTATATTTTATCATTTTGAATAAATATAAATCAACTGTAATAGTACAAGTCTCTAAATGGTAAATATTTGAAAGGTTAGAGTCAAGGTGAGTATAACAACCCTTCATGTAGTGCTTAAACCTATGCTATCCAAATAGGGAAACAAAGGATAGCAACGTATTACCGGGCTTAATGCAATGCCTATAGTAGGTGAAATAGCAAGGTAAAGGAACAAAGCAAGGTCAGGGATTCCAGAAGTACACAATAACAAGAAGCCAAGCTGGGTCAAGGAGTACAGATAACACAGTAGTCAGACAAGCCAAACCAGGAAATCAGGAAATATAATAAGGAATGTGCTATTGGAATCACAAGGAAACCACAACAGGGCACTGAGTAGATGGTAAGCTTTAGTATTTATAGGCCCGGGGGTGTTCCCTCGATAACCACGCATGAGTGGGTATCTACAATGACCGTATGCAGTGAGTTTGACCTAATGTCATCACAAAAATGGTGGTGCTACAGCACCTACCATCACTAGCAACACTAGCAAAAATATCTGAGGGTGAGTAGCTGATGTGGTGCTCACTTGCGGAGACAGGGGCACCAGGTACGTGTCACAAACTTACCTTTATCCGGTGCCCGCACCGCTCCTCTCCTCCGGCCATGCGGGCAGAACATTGCCTCAGTCCTCGCTGCCTGAATAGATAGTACTTACCTTCGGTCCCACGAATGGCTCTTTCTGCTCGCGGGATGAACTGCAGCCCATTTATATAAAATATTTTGCCATGACGTCATGACCTTAAAGGAACCAGGTCATCTAGGCCAGTATTTCCCAATCCAGTCCTCATGGAAAACCAGCAGTCCAGGCTTTATGTATTTCCCTGTTTTTAAGCCTGAACTGTTGGTGGTCCATCAGAACTGGGTTAGGGAACACTGATTTAGGCAACCCAATGCTGTTTGGGGTCGTAGAGATAACGTGGACCAATGGGAAATCTTGTGAGCCTAGTTAAGGCTTGTTTTAGCCTTCATTCATTGCCCTATCGTGGTTTCATGTTAGATCCTCATTTAGTGCTCCTAGAGATTCCCTTGTGATTTCTTGTGTTTGACCTCGGCTTTGTATTTTACTTGTGATTTCTGGTATCCTGACTTTAGCTTTGTATTTGACTTGTGATTTCTGGTATCCTGACCTCGGCTTCGTATTTGACTTGTGACTTGTGACTTCTGTTATCCTGACCCTGCTTTGTCTTGACTTTGTATATTTCTGTATCCCTGACCTTGATTTGTTCTTGACCTTGATTTTCGCTAATACGTTAAGTCTGGACATTCTAAGGCTCGGTAATACGTCTTTTGAATCCACCTTTTGTGGGTTTCCTATTTTCTGCGTGTTGGGGTACAACTACCGTGACAGTAAGTGGTGTAGGACAAAAATATGTATCTTTACAGTTTAGATAACACCACACTGTCTTAATTACTTTTTCTGGTGTTATGTCCGTTAAGAATGAATTTTAAGTTCCATTTTTTAAAATATGTTATTATGGCCTTAGGTGTGAGGAACTGTCAGGTAAGCAATAATATAATTCATTTTAATGCACACATATAACTCATTAATGCACACACATGACTTATTATGGGCTGACTGGTGCACAATGTGCGTTGACTATAAATGTCCATATTTCCCATTATAAAATCACCTGCACTCTAGTAGGCAACTATCTAAAGACACGTGTCCTGTAAGGGAACCTTTGGCACTGATAATGCACTTTTTGAGCAGGTCATATTTATTATAATAACAAAGTGGACAGATGGATAAATGTGTCCTGCGGCAGTGGCGTAATCAGGTGTATGTGTGAGGGGAAATATATAAAGGATGAAAGCAATGCTCCAGGCAATTCTCATTGCAACTGTCTGCCCAACTGGCAGCTGTTTGACATAGAGTGCTCGATCCTCTTCATCGTCTATGATTGTAGAGCAGCAAGTTATTGTGTATAACTCAGGACTGCATTGCATTAACTTTTACCACACAATACTAAATACCTTTTCGTCATAACGTTAACCCCTCTAAAGCACTAAATTTGTTTCAAACTAAACATCTTATGTAATCTAACTTACTTTAACCTATTTCTAACAATAAGCATCACCATCCTTAAACCCCCTAACTTCAAACACTCCTTAACATTAACCCTAACTATTCTTTAACCTAAACCCCAATCACCCTAACCCTAAATAGTTCCTTTGCAACAACCTCAATGCTTTCTCTAAACCTGTTATTATTACTATTTATTATCAGCATTAATACAGTTCCAACATTTTCACTGTGCTTCACCACTATACGATAGGCTTATTTATGAACTGGTAATAGGCAGATAATGAATGATGTTGATGGACATAAGACATAAACTCAGCTTAACTTTAAACCCAGCCCTCAGCACCACAAGCCTGCTGCCCTAACCACACCCCCTCACTCCCAAAAAAACTTTATATCAAAGCCATGCACACAGCTCAGTCACTGACAGTCCTGAATGATCTGAGAACACCCAGTGAGACTTACAGTAAGGATATCACTACCTGTTTGCAGTTTCTCTGACTGTCTGCAGCCAGGTTGTGAGTTAAACTCAGCTCACTCATTGCTATTGGGAGCTGAGCTATACCTTAGATAAGGACGTTTTTCCTCGAATGAGTGGGTGTGGCTAAAGGTTTACGGTGCAGCATTCTGCAAAACATTTTTTTGTGTGCGTGAAAAAACTATACCGATTTGAGCATGCAAAAGTACAGCAAATTAATGAGTCCAAAGCCTAAAGCCTTAAAGTTGTATTGATGCCCACAGTGTCCCTTTAAATGCTCCCCCAGCTTTCTGTTAAACTGCCTTCCATGATTGCCTCTTTATTTTTTTTTTTTAACTCATTCTCATGTTTGAAATTCTGTGTATTCAGCCTCTCAACTAAGACCTATAAGCCACTCGATCTAACAAAATAATTGAGGAACAGACTGGAAAACACAAAGTTAGCGACTGGATGTAATGATAAAGGGAAGATACTGTAAAACAGAAAACACTAAAGATAGTAATAAAAAGACATGGAAAAGTTGAAGAAACAGACTGAAAACGGAAGTGTAAGGTGAGAGACTGATAAAGATAAAGTGAGTTGGCATCAAAAGAAATATAGTGGGAGAAATAGTTGGACCGAAAGAGATTGAGGAGGTAGAGAATCATAAAAAAGAGAAAAAGTAACGAGGATGCAGGAAAGGTGGGAAAGGCCACCAGGTTTGGGGACTTAATGAAAAGACATTTATTTGGAGAAGGATCTGAAGAAAGAATGTGACTAATTTGAGACAAGAAGTAACACAGCAAGGAATGGCCCTTGCACTGCTGACTCAGTCTAAGTAGTATTTTACACAATCTATTAGGCTTTATTAATCACAAAATAAAACACCCATGTTTTTGTGAAAGTAGAGACTGAAATCTGATATTTAAATAACACCGGCTGTGCATTATAGAATATACTACTATCCCCATTCTTTATGGAAATATAACAATACACTAATCAGAGCAGCACTAATTTTGTGAAACCCATAGATTTTCAGTTCAAATACAGCCACATGCTGATTGATGGTAATATTTCAGATGCCTGTTAAGTGAAGAACGTCACATTTATGATGGAAATACATTATTCACCTTGACATATAACTCCAGAATCCTCATGATGTCCACAGTTATGCTGGCCCCAGCCTAGATGGAAGCAGTCTGTAAGATCTTTCTCTGTACCATCACAATCAACATTGTCAAGTAGGATGGGGCCACTGCCATAGCCAAAATAACTCAAGGTTGTAGCAATAATGGCTGGTCCACAGCCCATCTGCCTGCACACCACCTGAGCATTGTTGTAATCCCAGTCATCGTCACACACAGTTCCCCAGCTGTTTTGGTACAACACTTCCACTCTGCCTTGGCAGCTACTGTTCCCATTTACCAGCCTAATGCTGCCACCTGTAGGACAAAAAGATGAAAGCAGACTTACATTAGAATTATTAAAGTCTAAATGTTATATATCAGAGTATTGAGTACCAATATGTACAACTCATATCCTGGGAAACTACACAAGTATACAAGCAGCATTGGAGTTGTGTTCTGTGTTTGGAGTTACAGGGACACTATAGTCACCAGAACAACTACAGCTTAATCATTATATGCAGGCATTTTCATGCAAACATTGCCTTTTCAGAGAAAAGGCAGTGTTTACTCATCATAGGGATATCTGCAAGTGACCACTCCTCAGATGGCCACTGGAGGTGCTTCCTGGGGCAGTGCTACACAGTAAGCAGCACTGCCGTTCAGCATCTCCACGCGTTGCATGGGGACGCTGAATTTTCCTCATAGAGATGCTTTAATTTAATGCATCTCTATAAGGAGGTGCTGATTGGCCAAAACTGCATTTCTCCCCCCCCCCCACTTGCTGATTTTAGCCAATCCAATGCTTTCCCCATGGAAAATCAGCAATTCTGATTATGTCACCAAGGGGACGGGACCAGCACCAGCAGACCTGCGCGGCGCTGAAAATAAGGTGAGTTTTATTAACTTTTAAGAGGGCTAAGTGGGGGCAAGTCACCTAAATGGTGGGTTTTGCACTATAGGGTCAAGAATACATGTTTTTCTGACCCTATAGTGTTCTTTTAAGTCAGCTTCCCATAAGATGTATAGTTCTAGGAAATGATAATGACACTTAATTTTAGACGTATCAGTGCTAAAGAAAGCAGAGTTGTTCAAATGTAATTGGCTTCATAGGCCCTGTGTTTGTTTATCTTACAAGTTAATATTGAGGTACATTTTATAATTGCGGTACCCATGACACAACTTACCTCAATAGTTTACTTAGATTAATGTTACCCTGGCCATATTGTTCAATTACTGGGAACTTGAGGCAAGAAAAAGGACACCAAGAGTTATCAACTCTTTTGTAAAAAAAAAAACTGACTTCTACTGCTTCCTTAAAATTATTGATGCCCTTCAGTAAAATGTCTACATGCTTGTCATTTAAAAAATAGCCATTTGGCAGCACATTTATTAACAGTGTTCCCTGAACAGAATTGCACCTTTAGTCAGCTAGAATTTATTACATTATGTGATCTTTTTTGTTGCAAAAGCATGAATTTAATTATAGCATACTAATGACACCTTGTGTACAAAGCCCTGTTCTTCTTAAAGTGAACCAGCTTAGGTACCAGCATCAAATCCCTCAAGATAAGCTGTTTTGCCGGCCTACAGCTTTGACATTACTACAATTAATCTCTAGTACTTGCAATCACTAGGAGCCTACAGCTCTGTGGACTGTGTTCAGAGCCTTTTGTTCCGTGTATCTACAAGTTATGCCATATTTCTTATACGTGTCACTGTGTTTCAGTTTGCTTCTAGCCAAGTTCTATTGTATGAAGCTACACACATCCACAAATAATCTGTCAGAACAGTGACAAATGTACACAGGATTATTTTAGTCAAAAGTGCTGGAAATGCCTGCCTAGACTCATACTTTCAAGTTGCAAGGATCCGCTTCCTCCCCCCTTCCACCATGTTGTGTGTTTCCACATTTGTACTGTTGCGTTAAAGTTGAGAAAGTAATTTTTAGATATTTTTATATTTATTGTTTTAGTATACCATATAGCTCTTTGAAAGAGCAATGTATTTCTTATTTTGGCAGAAAAGTTAATTAAACTAAAAACAGACATTTGTTGGTTTAGAGCATTTGTCCCAGTTTCCAATTGCTATCAGAAGCCACATAGTTGAATGAAGTCTACATATGGGCAAATAAAATATATCTCTAAATAAATTATTTTCTTTTTATGGCCCTAGAGTTTATGAAAGATAATATCTAAATAATAGCATTTTAAAGACTAAGGGAATATTACTATAACTCTTGGATAAAGTTCTGGAGCAGCAACCATCAAGGTTGGGTTATAAAAAAAAATATATCCAAAATATTGAACATTCTGTGAAATCCTATTAAAGGACCACTATAGGCACCCAGACCACTTCAGCTTATTGAAGTGGTCTGGGTGCCAGGTCCAGCTAGAATTAACCCTTTTTTCTATAAACATAGCAGTTTCAGAGAAACTGCTATGTTTATAAATGGATTAATCCAGCCTCTAGTGGCTGTCTCATAGGGAAGCATTGAGAATGCTTTCCTATGATCTGGCTGAATGCACGCGCGGCTCCTGCCGCGCATGCAGCCGATGACGTCGCTATGGAGGAGGAGAGGAGAGTCCCCTGCCCGGCACTGGAGAAAGGTAAGTTTAACCCCTTCCTCCCCCCCCCTGAGCCCGGCGGGAGGGGGTCCCTGAGGGTGGGGGCACCCTCAGGGCACTATAGTGCCAGGAAAACGAGTATGTTTCCCTGGCACTATAGTGGTCCTTTAAAGTGACATTGTAGGCAATATACCAATATCATTTCATCTAATTGAATTAATTCAAATGTCTGGAGTCCCCAGGCACTGTCCCTCCATTTAGTTTTAAGACATTTTTTAGCTGTTTAACTTGGAATGTGGATCCCTGGCTTCCCATAGTTTTACCCCTACATGAGGTGTGGCTAAGGCAGAGATTACATACTTCCTTGTAGCCAATTCATACCTGCAATGGCACTGTGATAGGCTGAATGCCGCCATGTTGACACTCTCAGCCAGTTCGTATTGGTGCTCAGGCTGATATTTCCTTGTTAGTTCAAGAAGTACAGAGAAGATGGGAACTCACACTTAGCATTAAAACATAAAACATTAAAAACTTTTAGCGCTGAATGAAAGTGTGATACCGGGGGAATACAGCCAATCAAATTCACCCATTGCGGCTCAGGTTATTGCTTCCTCATTAGCCTAAGCAGCAGAGAGGATTGGTTGCTGGGGACTCTTGTTTATCATTAAAAAATTGAAAATGGTTTGATGTTGAATGGCAGGACAATGCAAAGAGACTCAAGACAGTAAAACCACTTTAATAAGATGAATCGATAATGGTGAAATGGAAGAAATATGTTAGACTTGTGACACTGCCTAGAGTAGACCATCCGCTAAAACTTTGTGACTAAGTAAGTAGGATATTAGAGAAACCTGCAAGAGGTCAATGTTAACTTTTGAGCTAGAAATCCTCAGCTGAGATGGTAGAAACTATTCACGTAAGAACTATAAACTGGAAACTTCACTAACTTGGCTTCTAGGACATTTGGCATGAAGAAAACCATTGTTAAAAAAACAAAAATAATCTCAATCTCATTAAGAATCTCTGAAAAGACTTGACAATTGCGGTCCTCGTCCCACCTGACAGAACATAAGCAATTTTGTCAAGAAGAATTTTCAGAAATTGCATGATAACGATATGCAAAGCTGGCATAGATGTAACCAACAGACTCACAGTGAAAGGTGAATCTACAAAGTATTGACTTGAAAAGTGAATACTAATGGAAATATTATTATTATTATTAGCATTTATACAGCACCAACATATTCTGCAGTGCTTTAAAATTATAAAATGGGAATATTTGACAAGTAATTAAGTTATGGAATATAAAAGACACAGGAGGTAAAGAAGGCCCTGCTCAAACAGACTTACAATCTATGAGGAAGGGCCCTACCTCATATCTTCTGGATTGGGCGAATAAATAGCATTAAGATGAATACTCCCCAGAATTCTATACCTATATCAAACCATCCCAATACTCCTCCCCAGATCACACTTCTCCTCATTGAACACGGCAATGATACGATATGTGTGGAAAGGGACACAACCTAAACATAGGATGAATTATCTTATCAGAACAAAGCAGAAGGGAGGCTTGAGTCTAACTTCTTTTCAAGACTACTACAGAGCCACACACCTGGCATGGATCGTGGAGTGGCATAATACTTCCTCGAGTCATGTCTTGCCTTCCTTGGAGACCAAAATAATACAGGGCCACCTTCCATCAACATTGTGGCTGGAGGAGTCCATGGCAAAGAACTCTCATCCCCTGGTAGGGTCCATGCTGACCGTTTGGTACTTGATGAGGTTCAAACTCTTCCTTATACCCTTGAAGGGTCCCATGTACCCAGTGACGGCAAACCCTGAATTCCCTTCTAATTTTTAGGCACAGGCCCATACATCCACCTCTCTAAGATATGCCGGGAAGGAACTTTACTACCTTTGCATACACTTTTTCAGGATTAGGCCCCAACCCTGCTTGAGCTTTTTCAGTTCCATCAACTTAAACATTTCTATTCCTCTATCTCCTGCCCACGGTCACTTTGCAGGCAACTTCTACCTTTCAAAAAGATCTGCTCCAAAAAAGAGCAATTATTTTGAGGCGTATATCTAACATGTATCAGCTGTTTCTTTCAGCTGATCACCTACCTCCACTTAAATCCGCAGCGTAATGGGAGACAGCTCTACAAGAATTGTTCTCAAACCAAGAGTGGCAGAAGAGGGAGTTCCAAAGCACGTATTTCCAAGAAAGCAACTTTCAAATTCTCACACACTGGTATAGCCCCCTGCAAATATTGCATAGATTCCTACCTGATGTCCAGCACGGATGCTGGAGATGCCGGCGCATGGAAGCATCAATCGTACACATCTTCTGGGACTGTCCAAAACTGGTTCCCTACAGGAGACAGGTGTTCGACATGGCCTGGCCACCGCTATGGCAAACAAAGGGCTACGCTTCCATCCATCAGACATGCTCATGGATGGATGGCTACACTAACCTCCCAATATCAAAGTACAAACGGTCGCTGACCAAACACTTATTGATGGCCCCGCACAGACTTATCTCATATTAACACATTGGCATAGGCCGGACCCCACACCTACCAGGCTTGGTCGGAGATTGTGAAAGAAATTTGTACACACGAAGAGAGCACTGCCATGCTGAAAGGCCGTACCGCCTGATATGAGGAGACCTGGAGGATATGGTTGTTCTTCCTTTACACTTGCGATGGGGAGGTGAGTCGTGCAGATGGGGATGGAGGTGTGAGTGAACCAATGTTTGCATTAACGGCCCGACAGGCCTCACATGCACTGCCTATGTGATATCCCCACGACTGTCATCACTTGCATCTCTCCTCCTGCCCCTCCCCCCTTTTTTTCCTTCCTTTTCCATGCCACATGCCTGCTCTTTTACTATTCTGCATCTTGACTCTAAACATCTTCTACTCTGTATCTCCATCTAACTAAATACAACTCTGACTGACCAACAGAGCCCACAGCGGGGCTCGACTGACCCGGATCTAAATCCAACTACTACAAACCTACCATGAGCCTCACGACAAGTAGAGATGACCTAGTTGCGACAGTACCTACTCTGTAGAACACAGTGCAACCGAGCCAATTGTTCACTGAATTTGGAGCTTTCCACTTTATTGTTATACCAACATGTACTACTGTTAACCTTTGACACATTGTTATCTGATCTTTTCTACCACTTTACCAGTTTTCAAGTACTGTATTGAAAAATACACCAAAATAACAAATGTCAAAAAAAGAAAATCAATCCTATGAGAAACCTATGAGAAAGAATATAACTAATGTCTGTCTTTTTGTTTGTTTCATATTTGTGTCATAATAAATAGCATTTTTTTTTACTATAGTAAGAATTCAAAGTGAATTTCAAATTTCATAGGTCCAAATAGCAAACCTGGAAAAATGATTTTAGCCAGCTATACTTTCAGCTGGCTACTGTGGCCTTAAATTCAAAATTCACCTTGAAGCAAAAATCATCATTAGATTTAGCACAATTCATCGAGATTTGTTCCAGCAATTAAGGGTACAGGTTGCCATTTGGATTCAGGATGTCTTGGACTCTAACTCCAACCAGTTTTAGCCGAGCAGAGTTACGTTCCACAAAACCTCTAGTATCCTTGTTTGGATTATGGGGTTTTAAGAATCTTTGCTATAATGATCAGCACTCTAATAATGTATTATTGTAACATTGTATTGAGGAGAACAGAATGCTAGACTGTGACTAAAATTCAATATGCAGGCATTTAAATAAAGTATTAATATAATTGCATTATTACGTATAAAATTGGGAAGTCTAATAACAATTTAATATATACATAATTAGTATTTTTTATTTATTTTTTTGCAAGTCACATTTACACCCAATTTACCTTAAGTTCCCATAATCAGAAAGAAACAAAAAATTAGAAATAGATCAATACCATACACATACACATACACATACACATACACATACACATACATATATATCAGGTGGGAGCAATATCTGGATGGATACATAGTGAATCTAAATAAATTATAGCCCTGATCTGGTATACCAACAAGAGAAGAGTCATGATAAATGAAATGATTTGAAAAGGAAAGTGGTCAGTTATCGCCCCCTAGAGTAATGTTTTATTATTTATTGAAACATTCTTTTCACAAGTGACTGTGGATATTCAAACAGCTGTTAAAAAATTGTCATTCATTCATTTTGACTTTGTCAGTAGACATGGCTGAATTAAAGTATAGTTGCTTTGTGAAGTGTTTTTTTTGTATGAAAAAAAGTGCATGCATTTCACCACATATAGTGAGAGAAGAATATTATTTTATAATTACCGTATATAGAGATTTATATACATTGTATTTACTTCCCGTTAGCTGTTTTTCTGCTTAAAGTGTCACCTCTGGCCATTTATACGTAGTTTATAAAGATTAAAAAATCTTTATGAAGTGTCCTTCATGACAGTTCTAACTTTGATAAAGGGGAAACATTTAAATAAATTGTATGTGGCACTGTGTGTACACATTTAGCATCTAGTTGTGCTCCTTTGATTTTTTTTACCTTGTGCATTTTAATATAATTTATACAAACCAAATCATGGACAACTACATTTGCACGAACCAAATATGAATAGGAGTTTTATATTTATCAAGTTTACAGACTTTGTAAATATTGGTGCAAGTTTTTGAATTAATTTGCTGGTATGGTAAGAGAAAGTTAACTATAAAAGCAATAAACATGCATATAGTTTGTACGCAGTCATCACTTTAATTTTGCTCAATTTACTGAACATATAATTTTTTTTAAATTGTTCTTTTTTTTTTTTGGTGCAAATATTTAACACACGCTCTTGCAATGCCCCAACAGCAATAACAAGGATTGTAAGATACCTATTTTAACAAGTACAAGGCATAGAAGATTACTGCACACATTTTTTGGTTAAGTAGCAAAGTCACAGGCTAGTCAAACATGTATGAAGTATATAGAAAAACATATTATGCAGTCAAGTGAGCTACCCAGACATGTGAATGGTTATGAGAGAATGGGTTATAAAATATGCTTGTGAGGCAGGAGTATGAGGAAAAAAATAAATAAATGAGCAAATAGATGGCGAGATAGGCATGCTCATTAGCATGGTGTTATTAGGTAACAGGCTATCTGTAAACATGCCTAGCGGGTGAAGTAGAAATTATTAAAATTTAAAATTATGAAAAACAGTTAAACATGCTGGAACATCTAATAAAACTATAAAGCTATGTTGCTACTGGGTCCTATTGAAACGTATTGGGCAAAAAACGTTACATATTGTAAATGAAAGGTAACATGTCAAGTATGACAAATGGCGTCCACTATACTCAGATGGGGCTCAGAGTCTGGGCCAGCATACAGTGAGGGAAGCATGGTCAGCCGACTCCACTAATCGACAAGCTCAGGGTGTGCACAGAAAGTTTGCAGAAGCTCTGTTTCACCTTCACAGTCTTGTGCTGGACTGAGAGTACAGTCATTGTATGGGTAGGGAAGCTCGGGCACAAGACGACGACTCCATGCTTGTGTGAGGATTTCTTCTGACCCCAGGCCTGTAAGAGGGCCTGCTCTGTAAGTCCACGGCTTCAGGCATTCTTGGGGGTCGAGTTCTTTCCCCCTCTGTCAGGATTACAGAATGATCCAGCATGTAGAATTGTGTAACACAGAGGACTGATAGGTAACGTATACCGGACCTTAGAATGGCCGGACTAACGTACCAAAGAATAGTCAGGAATAGCCGAGGTCAAGAGATACAGAAAGAGACACAACGATAAGGAAAAGCTAGGAGTCAGTGATGCCAGAAAACAGGGAAGTCAAAAACAATGCCGAAGTCAAATAACCAGAATAACCAAAATCAATAAAGCGCTCTTGGACAACCACAAGGGAAACCACGACAGGCACTGAGCAGGATGAGAACTGGGCCTAAATATCCCTTCTAGATCTGATAGGCTGTAACTGGCCTTTGACCCCAAATGCAGTTACCAGGTTCCCATGTGCATAATTGCTGCTCAGCATTAACCCTTCTGTGGATTTGGTTCCTGCTCGGCACAACTTTTCCTGTGTGGACAGTAAATGCCATTAAGCACATTTTTATAAGCGGATGAATACGTGACATTACCCCCCACCTGAAGAACACCCACCGGGTGGGCAGGACCAGGCTTGAAATTTGGTGTGAAAATAGTGAATCTTGTGGCCAGCATGTATATCAGATGCCGGAACCCAAGAACGATCTGCTGGTCCATAACCTTTCCAATCCACCAAGTACTGTAAAGTGCCCCGAGAAAACCTGGAATCAATTATGGAGAAGACCTCATACTCTTCCTGTCTAGAAACAACTAAGGGAGGAGAAGGGACACTTGAGACAGTATATTTATTGCAAACAAGAAGTTTGAGCAAGGACACATGAAAGGTATTAGGAAATTTCAAGCAGGACGGAAGGGCCAGAGAGTACGCAACAGGATTGATCCTATGAAGGACACGAAAAGGTCCAAGGAACCTATGAGCAAATTTCATGCTAGGGACTTTGAGTCTGATGTTACGAGAAGATAACCAAACCCTCTCACCCACTTGGTAAACAGGGTTGGCACCTCGACGTGTATCAGCATAATGCTTGAAATGGTCAGCAGCAGTACCCTGAGCAGATTGAACTTTAACCCAGGTATCACGGATGGAAGCCAGATGGTCATCCAAAGCAAGAATAGCCGTATCAGAAAAAACAGCCGGTAGGACAGTAGGATGCCGGCCATTATTAACAAAAAAATGGACTATGCCCAGAGGAGTAATGGTCAGCATTGTTCCTAGCAAACTCAGCCCATGGTAGTAATTCGGACCAATTGTCTTGAGTGCTATTAACGAAACAACGCAAATCTAATTCCAAGGACTGGTTAGCCCTCTCAGCTGTACCATTGGTCTGGGGGTGGTAAGAGGATGAAAAAGACAATTCAATCCCTAATTGTTTATTGAAGGCCCTCCAAAACCGAGACACAAACTGAGAACCTCTGTCAGATACTATATTGTGAGGAATGCCATGCAGATGGACAATTTCTCGTATAAAGATTAGTACCAGGTCTTGAGATGACGGCAATTTCTTGAGAGGAATAAAATGAGCCATTTTAGGAAAACGGTCCACAACCATGAGACTGGTAGTATAACCGTTAGAACTAGGAAGTTCAACAATGAAGTCCATGGACAAATGGGACCATAGGACCTCGAATAGGAAGAGGTTGTAACAAGCCACAAGGGAGTTTATGAGACACTTTGGAAACTGCACAAACAGAACAAGCCTGCAAATATTCCTTAACATCCTTCCTGAGGGAATCCCACCAGAATGACCTCATGATAGCAGAAGTGGATTTATTAATACCTGGGTGACCAGCAGACACATTGTCGTGAAATACCTTCATGATATTAACCCTTTCCCCCAATGGAACGAACAGTTTGTCCTGAGGTGTACCGCAGGGTGCCTGAGACTGAGCCTCCATGATGGAACCAAACAGTGGAGAGGACAATGAAAGGACAGTGGACGCAATGATACATTCCGGGGGAATGATATGGGATATTTCTTGCTCTAGTATAGCCTCAGTATCAAACTGCCTGGACAAGGCGTCGGCCTTGACATTTTTAGAACCAGGTCTGTAGGTGATAAGAAAATGAAAGCGAGAAAGAAATAGAGACTACCTAGCTTGTCTAGAAGATAATCGCTTAGCATCTCCTATTTCTGCCAGATTTTTGTGTTCAGTAATGATCAAAAGGAGGTCCCTGGAACCCTCTAGAAGATGTCGCCACTCCCTGAGAGCTAGAATAATGGCCAACAATTCTCTATTGCCAATATCGTAATTGCGCTCAGAAGGAGACAACTTTCTAGAAAAGTAACCATAAGAATGTAACAGAGTTTCCTGGCTCTCCCGATGGGAGAGAACTGCCCCTACCCCTGTCTCTGAAGCATCAATCTCCAGTATGAAAGGCTTACTGGTGTCAGGATGTATCAATATGTCGGCGGAGGCAAACTGCTGTTTGAGAGTTTCAAAGGCTTCAACTGCTTCCTTAGACCATATCGTACTACTAGCCCCCTTGCGTGTCATATTGGTGATGGGGGCTATTACTGAAGAAAATCCCTTTATAAATCTTCTGTAATAATTGGCGAAACCAATGAACCTTTGAATGGCTTTCAACCCAGTGGGTAAAGGCCACTGTAGAACAGACTCTAGTTTTTTAGGATCCATCTGAAACCCAGAGGCAGAAATATTATATCCTAAAAACTGTACTTCAGACTGATCAAAGATATATTTTTCCAATTTACAATAAAGTTGTTTTTTTAATAAGGTTTGCAGAACTTGTTTAACGTGATCGTGGTGAGACTGGAGGTCAGGAGAATAAATAAGGATATCATCCAGCTAGACCAAGACAAACAATAAATGTAATCCCTGAGTACATCATTAATGAAATCTTGGAAAACCGCTGGAGCATTGCACAACCCGAATGTCATCACTAGATATTCATAGTGTCCACTTCTGGTATTAAATGCAGTCTTCCACTTGTGGTTTTCCTTGATTCTCACTAAATTGTAAGCGCTTCTAAGGTCAATTTTTTGAATTATGTTGTCAGTGCTTAGTGAATAATCCCCTTAGATTTAGTTAGGGGTGAACATACTTGCAAATATATCTGTGATAATTGGAAACAGCAATGAAATACAGTATAGAATATAGAAGTATCAATATTTCTGATTGTAACAATAAAAATATAACATAAAACAAAATTGTATCACAGTCCAATATGTGTAATTTATAGCAGGGTCCAAAATGAAGGGAAGTCCACAGTATTGTTAGGAGACACAATCTTTTGCTTGAAATCCCTTAAAAAAGACAGAAAATAAATATAGTGTAATACTGTATTTAATGTCTTAAAACAAAAAGGGAATCCCCCTCCCCAACATAGGAACCCTTACAGGAAAAAGATGTGGTGCTTATTTCTAAGGACCACACTAAAAGCTTATCTGGCTGCAGTCTTTTCTCTCTTCTGCTTCAAAAGTACCTTCTGGTTTGCAGGTGAAAGCAGCATTCGCCTCGTGCACTGAGGCAGGCTGTGAGCTCGGTGAAATCCTCCTCTCTGCAAAAGTAACTCTGGTTGGCATAAAATGCTTGACATGCAGGGTATTAGCAGCCACACAAAAAAATAAAAGTTAATGAACACCTAATCAACGCGTTTGGCCCCTCTTTAGTGGGCTTTTTCAAGATAGGTGTTTCATGTGCTATTCGGCGGTTATATACCTTGCCGGGAAAAGCACATTTAAATTCTTAAAGGTATACACATTATTTTTTTTTACACACATCAAATCCTATAATGTAGAAACGTCCTTCAAGATAAAAAATAATAATAATAGTAAACTATGCATCCTTGATACAGCAATTAAAAGACAATTTATACCAATAAAAAACAGAACTTATTTCAAAACATATATGATTACATAGATATATTGCTTGATATTATACAATTCTATCCATGCATGTGAAACTGAACATTTTCAAGTCATTCTTGAAAATATTAAAAATAATAATAATAACCAGCACAAATCCTATTCTAAGATGTATGTGTACACACAAAGAATATGTGAAAAGTGTGTATTATAGGTGCATATTCCAAATGCTATTTTCAAGTATATGATAGTTTGTTGGATAAATAGATTGTTATGATGACAAATAATACTAGTAAATGTCTTATCTATACAATGGCTAAAAATATATATTATCCATGGTTTCTCTATAGGTATTAAACATATTTATAGCATATTTGCTAGTTCTAAGGTCAAGCTTACTAAAGGTGACATAAGGTCAAGCTTAGTAAACACTTTAGCGCCCTGGAGTCTGTCAAATAATTCAGCAATAAGAGGAATGGGGTAGGCGTTCTTAATGGTGATTTTGTTCAATGCCCTGTAATCGATACATGGGCGCAACTCACCATCCTTTTTAGATTCAAAAAAGAATCCTGCACTAGCAGGCGAGGATGATTTTCGTATATGGCCTTTAGTCAATTAATCTTTAATATATTCCTCCATTACACTACTCTCCTGAGGAGATAGAGTATAGACTGCTCCCTTAGGTGACATAGCACCTGGTAGTAAGTTAATGGAACAGTCATATGGTCTGTGAGGATGTAGAGTATTAGACTGGGTCTTGTTGAATACTTCTTTAATGTCTTGGTATTGTATAGGGATTTCGGGATTTTGAGGTGTACCAGTGGGTAATTCAATAGTGCCCACTCTTTTGGTGACATGCAATATGCACCTTTCATTACAATCCTTACCCCATTCTAATACTTCCCCATTAGCCCAGTCAATATGAGGGTTATGCTTGCTAAGCCATGGGAATCCTAATATAATAGGACAAGAAGGAGATGCAATCACATGAAATGTAATCTCTTCCTTATGTAATGCACCAATGGAAATATTAATGGGTAAGGTTTCATGCATATCAATGGTTGTGAGAGTGGTCTCCCATCAATAGCTTCAACAGCTAGGGGTGATAGTCTCTCTTTGATAGGTATAGTATTACCTTTGACAAATTAAACGTTGATTAAGTTTCCAGCAGCACCTGAATCCATCAGGGTGCTGTCCCCTTAAGGTGCTTAGGTGCGGTAGTTTCCCGGACATATGGGACAATTGTGTCCCTTCTTACCGCAGTATAGACATAGGCTTTCTTTTCTTCTATAATGTATTTCTGCTTCCGACAGTCTAGTGACCCCCAACTGCATGGGTTTGGGTTCGGACTGTACAGGAATTTCAGGGACAATAGGTCTGGAGAAACGGGGTGCTAAATGCATACTCATGCATCTGGTCTTGTTTCTAGTAGCTTCTCTGGTTCTTAATCTATTATCAATCTGCATGACAAATGTGATAAATTCATTAAGCTTTTTGGGTAAGTCTTTGGCGGCAATCTCATCTAGCATAGTTTCAGATAATCCCTTTTTAAATGCAGAGATTAACCCACAATTAGTCCAGTCTACCTCGGAAGCTAGGGTACGAAATTCTATGGCATTTTTCGAGATAGACCGGTTCCCTTGTCTGATGTGCATCAGGGCAGTAGAGGCGTCATCCTCTCTGCCTAAAGGTTCAAACGTAAGGAACTCCTGGTAATTGTGTGTCACACTCCTATTACTCTCCCATAATGGATTGGCCAAGCTAAAGTTTTACCTTTTAATTGATTCATTAGGTAACCGATTTAGCTCTGTCTGTGGGAAAAGATCCCGGTGAGGCCTCAAAATGATACTCCATTTGGTTAATAAATCTCTGGCATTCTTGAATATTACCATCAAAATGCAGGGGAGGAGATAGGGAGATAGTAGGTGCCATGTGTACTATAGCTGGAGGTACACAAGGTGGAGATGAGGCCGCAGGTTGCAGATGCGCTGTTCGGGTAAGAAGCGTACTGAAGGCCTGGGCAAATTGATCCATGCGGTGATCATTATCCTCCAGTTTCCTTTCACAAACAGCTATGTGCTTACACAATTCTACAGGATCTATGGCCATTTCGTAATGTCAGGATTACAGAATGATCCAGCACGTAGAATTGTGTAACACAGAGGACTGGTAGGTAACGTATACTGGACCTTAGAATGGCCGGACTAACGTACCAAAGAATAGTCAGGAATAGCCGAGGTCAAGGGATACAGAAAGAGACACAACGATAAGGAAAAGCCAGGAGTCAGGGGATGCCAGAAAACAGGGAAGTCAAAAACAATACCAAAGTCAAATAACCAAAATCAATAAAGCGTTCTCGGACAACCACAAGGGAAACCATGACATGGCACTGAGGAGGATGAGAACTGGGCCTAAATATCCCTACTCTAGATCTGATAGGTTGTAACTGGCCTTTGACCCCAAAGGCAGTTACCAGGTTCCTATTTGCATAATTGCTGCTCAGCATTAACCCTTCTGTGGATTTGGTTGCTGCTCGGCACAACTTTTCCTGTGTGGACAGTAAATGTCATTAACCACATTTTTATAAGCGGATGAATACATGACACCCTCCAGGACGAGAACAGGCTCTGAATGGTGCAGTCCGCCTTCGGCGCTTGTTCGTCTGCGCAAGTGGTTGCTGGATCGAGGCAGCGCCTCGTATGGCTTTCATCATAGGTAGGTAGGGAGCCATGTTGGAAGGCACTTGTGAGTCTGGAACACCTTGGTCAGGTCCCAATTGCTTCTGCATTGTAGCTTGAGGGGTATTTAGCCATGGTGCTAAGGCGACGCCAGAACTCCTGGCAGAGTGCCTTGAACCTGGCATTAAACGATTCCCTCCACTGCTGTATCTCAGGGCTTGGTCTGCTATGCAGAGTACCCACTGCTGCGGCCATCTTGGCTTCGCCACGCAGCTTTTAGGACTCTGTTTGTGCTGTTCTCAAATGTTAGATTTGGATTCCCAGTGGGGACCGGGATAACCCCCGCCGGTCCAAGGAGGGGAGGAGGGAACAGGGCTCCTGAAGTGAAGCACTATGTGGCAGGCACCACCTCGGGAGATCCTCCGGCTCACGCCTCGACCAGCGTCTGTTCAGGTAGGCCTCTGATAGGAATACGGCTGCTGCTCAACAAGGGGGTCCGGTCTGTGTTGGACAGCTTGCTCTTGGCTTGCTTAAGAGTCAGCTTGGATCTCAGAATCTTGATTAGTAGGGATTTTTGCTTGAAATCACTTGAATTTAGCTCAAGTCAGCAGTAGCTAGGGAGAAACACGTCCAGTTTTATGATAAGACATAGAACACAATGAAATCAACAAAGGCAGGTGTTACAGAATGTAGAATGTAGATTAGAAAGCATGTAATATGGTTACACAGTGCTCCACAGTGCTCAATCTAGTACTATTATATTCCTGCCATCTATGCTATAGTGCTCTTACAGAAGATGCAAAGAGGGTTAGGTAAGAGTTCCATATTTTGCTCTCATTAATGCTGTCTATGATGCTTACCAGAGTGGGAGGATCACGTGGCTTCGATGCCCTGACTACGCATATCTGAGCCACAATTAATATAAGTATAAATAAGCCATGTACCTCTGAAGGGATCTATGGGGGAACTAGCAGAAACAGAAATTAGTCAGGTGAAATAGGGACCTGAACCTCTCCGACCGACTGCAGCAGATGTTGCACCTGTTCCCAATATGGCTGTATTTAGGGGCAACTCAGCCAAATGTACCTGTCTGCACTCCACGTCTGCAACAAATTGGAAATGTATTTGGGTATATTTTATGCAATCGAGATGGAAGGAGATACTATCTTAGGTATAGCTTGTGATGCATTTCTAAGTGATTGATGCAATTTGTTAATTCATGAATGGAATTAAATGCTTTCAGCCAACTTTGTATTTGGTACTGGTGGCAAATGTTCCCATTCCACCTTTTGAGTATAGAAAGGCTTAGGGACACTTTGCTTGAGTGTAAGTGAGGCAAAGTAGCACAAAGATAACACTTTTGTCTTGAAAAATATTTCCAAACTGGATAGCAAGGAGGAGAAGTCCATATGCTCTGGTTACCTATAATTTAAAATATGTAAAAATTTGGAACAATGTAACAATAATATGTAAAGAAAAAGGTTTGTTTGTTCTAGCAGAGGGATGTCAAATATACATTTATTTCTACTGAGAATGGCAGAGATTAAACCAGGGGTAGGCAATGCTTTGCCAGCATTGTGGTTGCAAGATTATTATGGGAGATGTAGTTCACATATGGACTGCTAAATGTTGCCCACTCTTGGACTGAACGATTAAAGAGCCAAAAATCATACATCCTTTAAATGTGATATACTAATACCAGCTATAAAAGTATCCATTGTATTACTAGTATTTAGGTCGGATGCAGGAATGCTGATTTTGTTGCTTTTTAACATGCTCAATACCAAAACTGAGTTTTGTATGTTTCAGTATACAATCATGTTCATAAATCCTCGCTCACACTTTTTAATACTCTAGTTATGATTTTCAGTCTGTATAGGAATTTATCTGCTAGTCAATGATATAATGAGTGTAAAGTTAATGAAAATGTAAACTCACTCCATGCTTTCAAACAGTACAGGAAGTTTCAATGAATCTTATCATTCTACAGTCACAGAGGAGTGAATGTACTGTACGATTTCACTGTCAGCATTACATTAGCAGTCCAGAGATTAATAAAGAATGCTACAGGAGTTTTAAGTACCTTTATTTTTTATATATAAGACATAACTATCTGTGGGCATTATGCTGAAATGCAGACATTCTTTTTACTTTTTTAGAAAGCTGCACTGCTAGTAATACCTTTATGGCCCCTAAGCAAGTATTTGACCATTTTTATTTGTATATTTTTGTCACACCTCCTCTATGTGAGAAGTGCACTTCTCCTTTCATATTAACATTTCAGATTCTGTGTAAAATATTGCAAGATAAAATACACTGTATACTGTCTAAATCTTTTAATTTCCCAAATATATTTCTATAAAGGTTGCATGAATAAATGAAAAATAAATATTCTGTAAATCTACATAATTGTATGTTTGTCTGCCACGTAATGTATACACAAAATCACTGTGTAAGGATATGTTTATGTGCTAGCTATGCATTCCTTGTTTCAAATGCTTTTGCTACTTTTTTTTCAATCAAAAAGTGCTCAGCAGTGAACTGGTCAATGTAAGTTCATAGAAGAATGTAAATGATGATGCAAGATTATTTAATGTCATGGAGGCATTTGCAAAAAGGCTACTTACTTTTTTTCCATGGCTGTAGAACTGCAGTTGTAAACAGATCAGTTTCAGGAGAAGGTTGACCTCCACCCCATGTAACTGTGAAAAAACATTACACATTGTGACCTTTAAGATGTATATTTGAGGGTGATGAATAGTGATAAATAATGTATTGCTTACCTGTTGCTGTGTCAGTTAGAGAATCCACTATATCATGAGACACTGGAATGGTGTTCGGTGTTGTGGTTGAGATACCCAGACCTAAAATCAGTGATAAACAGTACCTCAACATGATACCTCTATTATTAATGTAAAAAAAAGTTGGATTAAATCATAAACAAAGTAATTATATTATTTCGACTGAAATTGCTGAGCTGGATAAAATAGCTTGACAATGTTTCATATTTAGTTGTTTCCTTTAACTACAAGTTCCAAATTCGTAAAATTGCCATTAAAGTATAATTGTACTATTTCAGAAAAGGATATTTCACAATAAAGAGGAACTGGCACTTCCAAAGTGTTTTATTATTATACAACAACACATAGTGATGTACCATCAAATGTGCAAGTGGAGTGACCAAGGTTTATTTTAACTTAATAACGCAAATTGTCTACATTGTCTCAATTTCTCAAAAAAAAACCATGAAGAACCTTTAAGTGTAGAATATAAAAAAAAAGAGAGCAATACATGTATTTATATTCATATATGACTGAGCCACACAACCAGTTAAAAAAAACAAAAACAAAAAAAACACTTTTATATCTTCAAGGTAGCACCCCACCTTCATGAATGGATATTGACTAGTTCAGGTATCACTCTACATAACAGTATCTTCTGCACCTTTATTTTCTTAAAGGGATTAGTTTCACCATAAAATCAACAAAATACCAAACATAATGCGTTATATAAAAGCTAATTATACCAGAAAAAGGGAATAAAAACATTCCCTATAGTATTTTTTCCTAGTATAATTAAATTTGATTTATTACACTATATTTGGTATTTTCTTATTTTATGGTGAAACAAATCGCTCTAATAAAGAAATGAGACTAAGATCCTGTTATACAAATTTAGTGTGACAACAACAAAGGTAAATAAATTTGTTTCAGGGGAATGCCCTTTTTCAAAGTGCAAATGCTCTACATGACATACGACAAGCTTTGCACATTACTGCAGAACTAGCCAGAATTTCTGCACAGCAGTGGATGGAGAATATTCAAAGCCATGCTAGTAAAACATGTCTTCTCTATGTGAGAAGTTGGAAGCTCGTTCTACACTGTCAGTTTAGAGGGATAATAACAGCAATAAATAATTGCAGTTTTGGACCTATTTAAGTGGAATTTACTTGGTCATTATTATTAAAGGAACACTATAGGAACCCAGACCACTTCATCTCATTGAGAAGAAACTTCAGTGAAACTGCAATGTGTTCAACTGTGTACCAGAGAGCCACTAGAGGAGTTTCCATGCAGTTGCAGATTGTTTGACTCAGTGAAATGACGCGGGACCACCTCATGCTTTGCATGAGGACGTCCACCATCAAGGAAAACTTCATAGGAAAGCATTGATACAATGCTTTTCTATTTCCTCTGGGGAAGCCCTAATACATGCACGGCACTTGCCCTGCATGCGCAGTAGATCTCCCCATCAGCTACATTTGGCGGAGGAGGTTTGTGACTCTGCACCGAGGGACGTCAGTGGTATGAGGTGAATGAAAGGATTTTTTTAAATCCTTCATGGATGGGGTCTATAGTGTTCCTTTAAGAAAATAAATTATAGAGATCAATGGATTTCTTCTTTAAAAAAAATTATAATAATAAAGAATGAAAAAAATATCTTCTGGGAAAAAAATTAACTCTCCATTTTATATTAATAGATCGGAATAATATCTCACTAAGGTAAGTATAATTATATAACAACAAGCGACTTGTAATTTGTTTCAAGTGCTTCTTAAAACTAGGACACAATACAGAGACAATAAGTGAGAAAGAGCTACATATAAAGTGAAATGCTATGAAGCTCTACTGAGAAGCTTCCATGATTAAAGTCAGAGATAATATGACTTCCAACAGAATCAATCTGAACAAGCAATATATGAAATTGTAGCATTTCTTTCTTTTTTGAAGGACCTTCTAAAACAGTAGAATGCCACTTAGTCTGATGTACAATAGTACATTGCTGCCTCGTGAATGGATGAAGCTGGGCACATGTCACCCATCACATAACATAACTTTGTGTTTAAAAATAGAATATATCAGGAAATGTTCTAAAATGTTTTGTGAGAAACAGAAAAAATATTATTGAAACCAATGCAGCAGCATATGCAGAACCCTTTAACCCTTAAAGGGACAGGCCACTGCAAAAATTGGCAAAATAGTACAAATCACTGTTTAATTGATATGCCTCCAATGAATACATGCATGCATTCATTTGAGGTGGAGCTTAAAAGAGTTTGCAAAAACTGAATTTCTCATGAACTGCAGCCTTTGCAAACCCTCTCCTTATATCCTAGAAGAGACTCTTCACGGGGAAATAACTAATTGAGAAGCCTCTGAACCTTCTCTCAAGAAGCCTGATTTGAGATCTGAGAAGAAGCCAAAGAAGTATTGCAAGGGGGAGGTAGATGAACTCAACTAGATCACGCCAGCCATTTCCATTAGGTCAGGGGAGCTATCGGAGGCAGGAAGAGACCTCCCTGGCTGTTTGATTGAGAGCCAATGGGGTGTTTGATGAATTAAGCATGTTTAAAATGGGAAATGGGACACTCCTCACCGGGTGTGGTTTTGGACCTTTGAGAATCAAATGACATTACAAACATGCAAGTACATAGAGGTATTGCCATAACCTCTAGTCCTAAGCAACAAACTCACTAGATCTTAATATAGTGGTTTTAGAGCAATGGGCTGCTGGGGACTCTCATTTACCACTAAAACATTAAAAATGGTTTAACACTGAATCGATAGATGTCACCAGGGAACTATTGACAATAAACCACTTTAATGAGATAAAGTGGTTAAAGTGCCTGCAGTGTCCCTTTAAGCACTATAGCCAATGCAGTTTATTGTAGTGCTAATGGTGTCATTAACATTAGAATGCTGTGTCCCATTTTCTTGTAAATAGTTTTGGAGCTGTTTGAAGAAAAATCACATCTCTTGTCAGATCCCAAAGCCTAGTCCATTTGCAGCCATTTGGGAAATGTGGAACAGTCACTTCTGCAATATCTATTTAAAGCTATCTAACCATGGATGTTTATGTATGACTTTATCGATCTCTCACATTGTTGTCACTCCAGGGGGGCCCGGCCGCCCTGCGGACCCCCGCGACCGGGTACCGGTTGCCACGTTTTGCGGCCCCGGCCTGCACGGCAAACCGCCGGGGCCGCGTGTTAAGGGGTTCATCGGGTGGCCCATGCTGTCAGGGCCACTCAATGGATATGGATTGTAAGGGGGCCCAGTCAGCGCTGGGTGCTTTAACAGCGCGACCGGGCCCCCTGTGATTACATCACTGCTGGGAGGAAGTGATTCCCCGGTCACTCCTCCCAGCATACTGAGAGCGGGAGGAAGGAGGAGGAGGAGGAAGTCAGAGTGGGAACTTTGACTCCCATCAGGCTGAGCCCCCACTGGACCCCAGGGAAAGTCACAAGGTAGGAAACATTTTCTATGTGTGTGTGTGTGTCTGTGTATATATGTGTGTCTGTGTCTCTGTATGTGTGTGTGTCTGTGTATGTGTCTGTGTCTCTCTGTATGTGTGTCTGTGTGTCTCTGTATGTGTGTCTGTGTCTCTCTGTATGTGTGTGTCTGTGTCTCTTTGTATGTGTCTCTGTATGTGTGTGTATGTGTCTCTGTATGTGTGTGTGCCTGTGTCTCCCTGTATGTGTATCGGTATGTATTTGTGTGTCTCTCTGTATGTATTTGTGTGTGTCTCTGTATGTACGTGTGTGTGTCTCTGTATGTGTGTGTGTGTCTATGTATGTGTGTCTGTGTCTCTCTATATGTATTTGTGTGTGTCTATGTATGTGTGTGTGTCTCTGTATGTACGTGTGTCTCTGTATGTGTGTGTGTGTGTCTATGTATGCAGTAGCGTACACACAATCTATGGGGCCACGTATGTATGTGTGTGTGACTATGTATGTGTGTGTCTATGTATGTGTCTGTGTCTATGTATGTATGTGTGTGTCTCTGTATTTGTGTGTGTCTCTGTATGTACGTGTGTGTGTCTCTGTATGTGTGTGTGTGTCTATGTATGTATGTGTGTGTCTCTCTGTATGTACGTGTGTCTCTGTATATGTGTGTGTGTGTCTATGTATGCAGTAGCGTACACACAATCCATGGGGCCACGTATGTATATGTGTGTGTCTATGTATGTATGTGTCTGTGTCTATGTATGTATGTGTGTCTCTGTATGTGTGTGTGTCTCTCTGTATGTGTCTGTGTCTCTGTGTCTCTATGTGTGTATATGTGTGTGTCTGTCTGTATGTATGTGTATGTATGTGTGTGTGTGTCTGTGTGTATGTTTGTGTGTTTCTGTGTGTATGTGTCAGGAGGGATAGGGGGGGCATGGATCAGGGGAGTGGGGACCCCACGGATCAGTTTCGCACCGGGGCCCCATGGATTGTGTGTACATCACTGGCCAAAAGGCTGTACTTTGGTCTCATCTGTGCAAAGGACTTTGTTTTAGAAGTCTTGTGTTTTGTTCAGATGCAAGTTTGCAAACCTATGCCATGCTGCCATCTTTTATTTAGAGACAAGAGGCTTTCTCCTGGCAATCCTTCCAAACCAACCATACATATTCAGTCTTTTTCTAATTGTACTGTCATGAACGTTAACATTTAACATGCTAACTGAGGCCTGTAGAGTCTGAGATGTAACTCTTGGGTTTTTTGAACATTGCACAGTTTGACCTTGGGGTGAATTTGCCGGCACGTTCACTCCTGGGAAGATTGGCAACGGTTTTGAATGTTTCCACCTTTGAATAATCTTTCTTATTGTAGAATGATAGACTTTAAATTGTTTGGAAGCAGCCTTGTGACCATTCCCAGTTTGATGGGCAGCAACAATTGCTTCTCTAAGATCATCGCTGGTGTCTTTCCCCCTTGGCATTCTGTTAACACACACTAAAAACTTTGGCTTTTATAGAGGTGGTCACACTTGCTGATGATCAATTAATCAAGGGCATTTGATTAAAACAACTGCCTGTTACTTAGACTCTTAATTCCTATGGAAGCAGTAAGAGTGTGCTTAGTTTTTCCACACATGTCTTCTCCATTTTGGCTTTATTTTTGTTAAATAAATCATGACGCTGGGTATGTCATGTATTGTTGTACATCTCAGGTTGTATTTAACTCATTTTAAGACCTGCTAAGGAACAGATGATTGTTATTACGTGCTGATATGTAAAACCCTAGAATTCAAAGTGGGTGTACTTTCTTTTTCCCATGACTGTATATACATAAGACATACTGAAAGACATGGGAATAGGCTGAGAGGGGACCTAATGTTCCAATCTTCTAATCACCAGGTCACATTAACATGCGTGTATAAACGTTTCATTTACATATTTTGGATGGTAGGTCACAATAATAATACATGATGAAAGAGCAAACTGCCATAAGGTGTACATAGGTTTTCATCTTAAAATTATCTTTACTATGTATATATTTTTTTGTGAATTACCAGTACATATAATTCCAGCATCTTCATGGTGCCCGCAGTTGTGGATTCCCCAACCAAGGCTGTAGCATGCAGAAAGGTAAGGTTCAGAACCATCACAATTCACATTATCCAGTAGTATCAATCCAGTACCATAACCAAAGTAAGCATTGCTCTTGTAATCTAAAGCTTGACCACAGTGGATCTGTCTGCACACAACACTGGCATCGCTCATTCCCCAATCATCATCACATACTGTGCCCCAGTTTCCCTTGTAGAAGATTTCTACTCTTCCTTGGCAGGAGTCTGCTCCATTTACCAATCTGATGCTACCATCTCCTAAAAAAAAAAAAATGATGTTGCTGGTTACATAGTACACAAAGAGCTGTAATTCCAAATGATACATGCAAGTTCTAAGATCATACTACCAAAAATCCAACAGCAAAGACACAGTTTTCCTTTTTTAGCTTTATACGAGACTTATTCTATAACATTACAAGCCAAGTCTCGGGTGAAGTAAAACTAGTTCATCACAGCATAAATTGTAATTGATTGCCTTCCAAGCACATAGATTTTAAGCTTGTTTGATCAGGGCCTTTTTACATCTAAATATCTAATTTCATTAATTATAAAGTGCAGGGGAATATGCTGGTGTCATAATAATCATAACAATCACGGTCCCCTGACTGAATATTTGAGATGGAGAAGGCCATTTTGTATTTTCATATAGTTGTATCAAGATATAATAGATTTTCTTGGACATTCTGATGGCTGAAATAAGATATTCAATCAAGACTTCAACCGGTAAGTATAAAATACTTTTTTAACAGGTTAATTTTCAGTTGGTTAAGTATTTTCAATACTTGACTACATTCACTATTAAATGTTATTAATATGGGGAAAGTAGGTAGGGTTATGTATAAGGGGTGACTAGAGGCTTTGGAAACTTAAGTCACAGAGTATGATAGTAAGAAATACTTTCAGGTCCAGGAGACTGGCTCCCTAACCCTTTATGGTGTTCACTTCTTCAAGGAGAAAATATAGTGCCACCTAACTGAGCATCTCTTGGGCCCCTATGCATAAAATAGTTAGCTCCTTCTGCCAGTAATCTGGACATCTCTGGGCCTTATGTATATGAAGTTGTTAACATCTCTAGAGGCAAACAGAAGGTGAAGTGACTGGGTATCTCCTGGAATTCATTATAATATGGGGCTATGGTTAACTCCTTCAGGGGGCAGAAATAGGGCTAGCAGGTTGGTCATCTCTTGGTACTCTGTATATGAAGAGTTTTATGAACATCACAGTTTTAGACACAGACTCTTTCAGTGTGAGGTAGCAGATTGGTTTCCTCTTTTTACATGTTGGGGTCTTAGCTGGGGTCCCGGCATGTATTTACAAATTTTATACATATACTATATTGTTACATCAACAAACAAAAATACATGTTTTACTTACTTAGGCCATTTTGTAAGGACGTTGAGGCAGCTTTTGTGGACTGCACCTTAGCAGCAGTTGTTGGTAAAAACTCTGGAAGAAGGAATTTAAACAAACACATACATGTATTTAGAAAAAAAATTGTACCGTGTAGCAGGCTACTTTCTATGAAAGTTACGGATTATATTATTGTGACAAGTTTTATCTTTTATTTTCCACTTTACTTAGTTTTTACAGACTAAGGGCTCATTTGCAGTGTTTTGGGGAAGTGTTACTGACCAGCCATTACTCACTAAAATGGTTATTATAAAAGTGTAATAGGAGACAATAAGATCTAGCTACCTACACCTTGCTAGTTGCATATTATATCGGCTGCTGCTACTTGAAGGGTCATGAACAGGAAAACAAGCACAATGGTCAGGAAATCCAGATATCGAGCAATCAAAAAATGCCAAATGAGTGTGTAGTGAACACAGACAACTAAGCAAAGCAATAGGTGAAGAGGAGGTTTTAATAGGGTGCTGACTACAAGCCACACCTCCTATCACATCCCCTTATCGTGTCTCCCTTCTCCTGTCTCCCAGTGGGCCTTCCTTATTGGCAGGCAGCCAATCACAGGTTAGCCTTGGCCATGCCTACCTGACATGCCCCCAACCTAAGTGCCACCTCTGTAGAGTGTGTATCCTGGCATGATGCATGAGCCACATAATGGAGTCTGAGAGCAGTAGGGGAGGAAACATGCCCTTCCCAATATTACCACCTGCCCTGAACCCCCAACAAGGAAGGAGCAGTTCAACAGTCACACATTGTGCCTGATAATTATGTTTATAGCACATTCAAATTAGAAGATAGTTTGCTAAATCAGCCAATTCATGTTGTCAAGGTTAGATGAAATTGACATTCATAACGAGTAAGTTTTAAATCCACAGTCAAGATGGGAGCAGTCTCTTGGCACCGGTAACAGCCATTCTTAAATAACATTATATTGGGAAGATGACCTCCAGAGACTAAGCAATTTAGCCACTAAAGCTTGCGTAGAATGTTCCTCTAATGTTTAGTTGCTGATTTCATCTTGTCGATGCCCTGGTTGGAGAAAGCTACAGCCAAGAGCAGCACTTCCCTACTAACAGCAGGGCCTTTCTTACAGTTTGTACTGCTCTGGATAAGACACATTTGCATGTCTCTCACTTGTCCACATACACAGACAGCACAACACAACAAGTAGTGACACATATGTGATTTTTCACTCTCACACATAAAATCTACCTCACACATATAGACACCAATGAGCCATTCAGACACAAGTATAACTTACCACACATCAACCTGATTACAAACACACGCATATAATAACACAAACATTAACACACACTTGAACACAGATACACTAGTACACATACATAGACACACTAACACATACAAAACATGCAAATATATACATACAATGATACACACACAAAGACACACACATTTTTATTATTCATCTCTCTCTTATTCTCCCATAGCTCACAAAAGGGCAGGGGCTCCAGTTTGTGGGACCTGGAATCTAGTGTTGGAGGAGTAGCATAACATTCCCATTTTCCCTCCCTTGGCGTGTGACTGCGCATTAGGTAGGTAGTAGGTTCCAAGATATGAAATCACATCCTGAGAACTGCTTCTTGTTTCAATTAAACTATAAGTAATAATAGATTTGGAATACTTTTGGTTAGGCGTGGAATCTCTTAGTCACACCCACTCAGCCCCACAAAGGGCATGGTCTGGAGTGAGTGCTCTGCTCACCTCAACCAAATAACAGGATTGCTGATAAACAATGGACATGTAATGATTATGTGGTAAAGGGCATTAGTGAAATGACCTTAATATTACCCTAATATTTCTAATAAAGGGGAGTACCTAGTGTCCCCTCCCCCAGCCCCCACCCATGCTGGCAGGTGGGGGCCCTTATAACTATAGTGTCACCTCCCCTGTCCTCCACCCATGCCGGTGGGTGGGGGCCCTGATTAATTATAAATTAGGGGGGGGGGTGGATATGCCATTGTCCACTCCCCCAAATAATAAGAAGTGTCACCCCTTTCTCTCTCAGTGGCTAGGGACATGTCCAGCCCCTCACATTTTATAATTAATTAGGGCCCCCACTGACCGATATAGGAGGGGGCCATGGGAGAGGACCCCATACCCTCCTCCCTCTTTCCCCTGTCATTATAGGTATTAGGTCAATGACTAAGTCTTGTAATGTTGGTGTGCCTTTAGGACTGTGTGGGAAAATACAGGGCTTTAGTTTTTTAGGCAAAAGTAGTAGATGTAGAAAATGATATTCAGTTCTGTAGAGCAGGAGTTTTTTTCAAGTTGTTATTTTTTACAACATTTTTCAAGACATTCCACAAGTCATTCCAGCTTGCAGTTCTGTGAATAGTTTTGATCTAAAACTAGTGCATGTTTTTAGCTATGTTTTATTCACAGTTTGTGTTCAATAAATATTTGTTTTTAAATACATTTTAACCTAACTAAAATATGCTAGTAACTGAATAGATAATTAATTAAAAGATAAAAGTTATCCTATAATCATTTTCTATGAGAAACTGGAGCCAAACCTTTTTACCATTGCAGGTGACAGCAACATCCTCGTAGTGGTAACAGTTGTGTATTCCCCATCCAAGACTCCTGCATTGGCTCAGCGCAATTTCTTTCCCTTTGCAGTCAACATTGTCTAAAAAAATTGGTCCAGTTCCTTGGCCAAAAGAGAGTCGAAAAGGTACCGCAAAAGCATTGCCACAGCCCAACTGTCGGCAAACCACATTGGCATCAACAATGTCCCAATCATCATCACATACTGTTCCCCAAGTTCCATTATATAAAACTTCCACTCGTCCTTGGCAGCGGGTCTCTCCATTCACTAATCGAACCTCTGCAACTATAAAAACAGGAATGTAAAACTTTGGGCTAAATACATTTCTTATATATCTTCACAAATATCTACCTCACTTGGAACATTCATCTTGACCTGCTTAACACCTTAAGGACACATGACGGAACTATTCCGTCATGATTCCCTTTTATTCCAGAAGTTGTGTCCTTAAGGGGTTAACATTAACATTAAAGGAACACTGTAGTATAGGCATACAAACTTGCATTCCTAACACTTTAGTGCTCTTGTTCCTAGTTTTATACAGGTCCCCCACCACCTGTGTTCCATAAATGACTGTGTTGTAAACAAGAAGGCATCGCCTCTCTCATCAGCAGTGGTCCAATCCAGTTCTCCTTATAGAGAAGCATTGGGTAACTGATGTGCATGTGCAGCAAATTGTCAGATAATTTTTTATATTTTGCCCCGCAATTATCCTATTCTCATAGGAAAGCATTGAATGTGATGTACCTAGCTTATACACCATTATTGATCACAACAAACAGTGTGAAGCTGTAAGGCACTATAGAAGGAAATCTCAGATTTATACAGAGAAACATACTTTGTTTTGGTTGGAAGAAATAAAAATGATTTTACGAAACAATTGTTTTTGGGTTTTTTTATCTACGGTGGCAAGATACCATTATGGGGACTAGGTTTGCACCAAGATATGCTCATGTATTTATGTCCTAATGGAAAAACCCAGTTTATATATGGAGGACCTATATTTGGCACGAACTTGGTCCTCTATAAGCAGTATATTGACAATATATTTTCTGTTTGAAAGGAAGTAGTGAGAATTAAATTTTTTTTCCTTGATTTTTTTAAGTTCAAATACGTGGGTTATTAAATTTATTTTTAAAGGGACACTATAGTCACCTGAACAACTTTAGCTTAATGAAGCAGTTTTGGTGTATAGAACATGCCCCTGCAGCCTCACTGCTCAATCCTCTGCCATTTAGGAGTTAAATCCCTTTGTTTATGAACCCAAGTCACACCTCCCTGCATGTGACTTGCACAGCCTTCCATAAACACTTCCTGTAAAGACAGCCCTATTTAGGCTTTCTTTATTGCAAGTTCTGTTTAATTAATATTTTCTTATCCCCTGCTATGTTAACAGCTTGCTAGACCCTGCAAGAGCCCCCTGTATGTGATTAAAGTTCAATTTAGAGATTGAGATACAATTATTTAAGGTAAATTACATCTGTTTGAAAGTGAAACCAGTTTTTTATTCATGCAGGCTCTGTCAATCATAGCCAGGGAAGTGTGGCTAGGGCTGCATAAATAGAAACAAAGTGATTTAACTCCTAAATGACAGTGAATTGAGCAGTGAAATTGCAGGGGAATGATCTATAAACTAAAACTGCTTTATTTAGCTAAAGTAATTTAGGTGACTATAGTGTTCCTTTAATATTAGCACCCAAAACTTATTTTTTTAAATCATAAGATCTGTGTAAAAATTAATGTTTTAAATATGCATATGTTTTTCAAACAGGTTAATGTCAATTGTTAAATTGAGATCAACATTTACCATTACTCACCATGGCTTAAGAATATCCCTGAAGGACAACTGCCACGTATAACAAGAAAGCTTATTGTGACAGAACCATCTGCCTGTGAATTACTTTTATTTTCCCTTCATTCGTCTGTTTGTTCGGCTATTTCCCTGTCCATACAGCCCCCACGTTTATTTCTTCATTTTACCGAACAACTGCTGAACGGCCGGCCACCCAGCATGGAAGTGTGCTGCTTGTTAACATCTTGGCCTAATCAGAACGTTGTGGTTAACCAGAGACACTTCCTAATTGTTGAATGCCGACTGGGTGGTTGTTGTTCGTATGCTGACCACAAGGCGGCGGCCATCTTGGATGTACGAATGCCCAGCGGTGTTCGTCGACAATTTAATGGAACTAAAAACAGACACTATTTCTCATGAACACTGCTGAAGCCACCAACCTCCCTTCTTCTGTTCATCCAGCATACGAACGCCGGCCCACTCGGTACTTTTCTGCACGAATGGACTTACCCCAGATAGCTATGCCATGGAGCCCATTCGTATAACGAAAGACTATGTGAAAGACTTTGGCCACTCGGTAATAATGTGCGCTCAGATCTAAGCTATTTCGGGATGTGTCGAATGCCCATATTTTGTTCGGTAGCTTTTATATTATATATTTTTGTGTGTTTTCATCACCACGTGTAAAATGGAGTCTTAGCCTCTATCCTTGGAGATAATTGAGTTACTTCCCAATTATCTCCAGGATAGAGAGGAGGGTTTACAATATGCCGGTGGGAGTGTTTATCTCTACCATGCTCTGACTGGTTACTGTATTATTTTATACCAGTTTTCCACCAGGTCCCTTAGGGGAGTGTCCACCTGGTGGAAGACCTGCATAAATACCGGGCAGGTAGCCCACATTAAACCAGATTCCTGCTGACCCTCAATACAGAGCTTTGTCTCGTACTTTTTGGGGATTTATTCGTACGGTTTTCTCCCATTTGGCCGTTTGGAGCATTCTTATGGTGTGATTGATTCGTATGATTTCTGTTCAGCTGTTTGGAGTGATTGGTAGCTGCCTTTGTATTCAGAAAGGGAACATCTTACACGGCTTTAACCCTTTTTATGCCCAGGGTGCCATAACACTTACAGAGTACAGTGAGTTTTTACAACAAGCTAAACTTTTAGACATTCAGTTTTTACAGAAATAATATAAAAAAGAGTTCTTGTAAGAGGAACTTGATTGGGTTTTAAAAATGTCCAGACAATCACTTTTAGAATAAACGGAAAGATGAGGAAAATTATTTTTAAAAGAATCTGAGATTCCATTCATTTTAAATTACTCTTGGAATATAGGATCAGTGAGAAAAATATTTTTCAAACACTGGCATATTTTGTTACAGGACTCAGATTTGAAAGATTTTGTATGACAACAACCTAAATGTATTTTTAGCAAAACACTTCAAGCACAAATTGATACCTTCCAAAACAAAGAGAAGCAAATTAGAATAATTTTATTAAACAGTTTTAAGGATACTAAAAAGGTTGTTTTTTTTAGATGTGGTTTATGTAATGCTTGTATTGAAATCAAAACATAGAAGACAACACCAAGCTTTAGATCCTTTGTTAATAAAAAAAACATATAAGATCAACTCCTTCATCACCTGTCATTCAGTCAATGTTATCTACCTCCTCACTTGCCCATGTGAGCACCAAAACGTGTGTAAAACACAGAGACATATCTAGAAACTACAGAGCCCCGGAGTCTCATTCCCTCTCAGCCCTTCCATGTGTCTCATTCTTCCCCCTTAGCTCCTCCACGTGTCTCTTCCCCCCCCAGGCCCTTCACATGTCTCATTCCCCCCTCAGTCTCTCAGGTGTCTCATCCCACCCTGCCCCCAGTCCCTCCATGTATTATTTTCCCAGCCCTTCCATGTGTCATTTCCCCAGCCCTCCTTGTTTCTCTTTACCCTAGACCCTCCATGTGTGTCTCCAACCCCGCTCCATGTGTCTCAACCCCCTTAGCCCCTCCATGTGTCTCTCCCACATCTTCCCATATGTCTCATTCCCCCAGGCCCTCCATATGTCTTATTCCCTCCCCAGCCCCTTCACGTCTCTCATTCTTCCTCTTAGTCCCTCCATGTGTCTCATTCCCCCCATACCCTCCTTGTGTCTCATTTCCCTTCCCACTCCCCCATGTGTCTTTCCTATTTCCAGCCTTTTCATGTGTCTCTCCTATCTCTAACACCAGCCTCTCCATGTGTCTCTACCCCGTCCTCCTTTCCCCTGTACCAGCTGACTCCACGGCAGAGCAGACTGCGGTACCATGTCTGACAGGAAGTAGTCTCTCAGTAAACACTTCCTATTAGACCACAGTCCGCTTGGCCATGCTACTACAGAGACCTGCAAGAGGGGAATACTGTATTGTGTGCTCCCTTCCTACCGGTTACCCTGTCACTGTGCATCCCGTGCCGGTGTGATCGTGCACTGGCCCTGAAGTTACGCCGGTGTACCCATGATCGCAGGGGTCGACAGGCAGCCAGGCCCTCTGAAATGACGGTCCTTGTCGCAGCTGCGACCCCTGCAACCATGGTAGTTACACCAGTGGTAAAATATCTCGGTCTTTTAAGAGCCATATTAGTGAGCACATTGTCAATATAAGAAGAGGCTACAAAAAGCACCGTGTCTACAGTCACGTTTTTGAAAAACAACAATCAGACCCTGGAAAATTAAAGTGTGTGCTGTCACCTTTTTCTGTGTTTTGCAGTACAGCAGAAGCACCTCTAGTGGCTATCAGGAAGACATCCATTAGAGGTGTATTTAACCCTACAACTTCTGGGGAAAATGTATGGGACTACTGTACCTAGATCACTCCTTGATATAAACTGATATGACCTAGCATCTTCATAATAAATTACTTAGAGAGGGGAAAAACTAGACATGAGCAATTAGTTTCGGTCCGAATATGAATTCGGATGAATTTCGGGCAATTAGCACATTCGGGTACTTCCGAATGTCCGAATTGCCGAAGTGCCGAATTGCCGAGGTCCCGAAGTTCCGAAATTACCGAAGTGTTGAAGTGCCGAAGTTCCGAAGTTGCCGAAGTTCCGAAGTGCCGAAGTTCCTAAGCACAGTATTGCCTAAGTACTATTATACTTACCCAGTGAAAGAAGAAGAATTTGCAACACTTACAACAATCAAGTAACATACATTCATATAAAATGTAAGTTACTTAGCCAGTCAATGTAATGACAGGAATGAATAAGTAGATAACTCCCTAATTCACACGATATTAGGGAGCTATATACTAAAAGACTGAAAGACCTAAATTGGTCTTTCAGCCAAATTTACTAATACTAAGTAAAGATTACTTAGTATTAGTAAATTATGCACCTACTCGCTATACCGTGAGTAGCAGCATGTCAATTAAACAGTGATCAGCCTGTGGCTGCTCACTGTTAAACAAAAAAACCTATTGCCCCCCCCCCCCCGGCCACCACCCCTGATCGGCGGGTGGGGGCCCTAATGTAAAATAATGGGGGGGGACCTATTGTCCTGCCCCCAGGCCCCCACCCCTGAGCGGCAGGTGGGGGCCCTAAATCAGAATAAGGGGGGACCTAATGTCCTCCCCCTGGCCCCCACCCCTGAGCGGCAGGTAGGGGCCCTAAATTATAATAAGGGGGGACCTAATGTCCTCCCTCTGGCCCCCACCACTGAGCAGCGGGTGGGGGCCCTAAATTGGAATAAGGGGGGACCTAATGTCCTCCCACCTGGCCCCCATCCCTGAGCGGTGGGTGGGGGCCCTAAATACTAATAAGAGGGGGGACCTAATGTCCTCCCCCCAGGCCCCCACCCCTGAGAGGCAGGTGGGGGCCCTAAATTGGATTAAGGGGGGGACCTAATGTCCTCCCTCCTGGCCCCCACCCCTGAGCGGTGGGTGGGGGCCCTAAATACTAATAAGGGGCGGGACCTAATGTCCTACCCCCTGGCCCCCACCCCTGAGCGGCGGGTGGGGGCCCTAAATACTAATAAGGGGGGGAACCTAATGTCCTCCCCCCTGGCCCCACCCCTGAGCGGCAGGTGGGGGCCCTTAATTGGAATAAGGGGGGGACCTAATGGAAGTGTGCTGCTTGTTAACATCTTGGCCTAATCAGAACGTTGTGGTTAACCAGAGACACTTCCTAATTGTCGAATGCCGACTAGGTGGTCGTCGTTCGTATGCCGACCGCAAGGCGGCGGCCATCTTGGATGTACGAATGCCCAGCGGTGTTCGTCGACAATTTGCGCTATGGGTTTGGGCCCCTAAATACTAATAAGGGGGGACATAATGTCCTCCCCCCGGCCCCCATCGCTGAGAGGCGTGTGGGGTCCCTAAATACTAATAAGGGGGGGACCTAAGATCCTCCACCCTGGCCCCCATCCCTGAGTAGTGGGTGGGGGCCCTAAATACTAATAAGGGGGGGACCTAAGGTGCTCCCCCATGGCCCCCATCCCTGAGCGGCGGGTGGGGGCCCTTAATTGGAATAAGGGGGGGACCTAATGTCCTCCCCCCTGGCCCCCATCCCTGAGCTATGGGTTGGGGCCCCCAGATACTAATAAGGGGGGGACATAATGTCCTCCCCCCTGGCCCTCACTGCTGAGTAGCGTGTGGGGGCCCTAAATACTAATAAGGGCCCCCACCCCTGAGCGGCGTGGGTGGGGGCCCTAAATAAAAAAATAACCCCCCCAGGTGACTAGGGGTCCCCAAACCCCTAGTCACCCCCTCCCCTGAAAAATAATTAACTCCCTACCTACCCCCCTCACCCTAAAAATAATGAGGGGGGGACCTTTAACTAAGTACCTGTAAAAAAATAAAAACTTACCATTCGATGTTTTCTTTCTTCTAAATTCTTCTTTTTTTCAGCCCCAAAAAAGGCCAAATAAAAAATCCATAATAACCGACGAAATTTAAAAAAAAAAACGAGCGCAAAAAGAAAAAAATCCATCTTCACCCGGCGAGGGCTCCGCGCAGACTGAGCTCTGCAATTAGGCTCAGAGCACTCTGATTGGTGGGGTGAGGACAAAAGGTCCCCCCCTATAAGTATTTAGGGCCCCCACTCGGCGCTCAGGGGTGGGGGCCAGGGGGGAGGACCTTAGGACCCCCCTATTAGTATTTAGGGCCCCCACACGCCGCTCAAGGGTGGAGGCCAGGGGGAAGGACATTAGGTGTCCCCCCTTATTAGTATTTAGGGCCCCCACCCGCCGCTCAGGGGTGGGGGCCAGGGGGGAGGACATTAGGTGTCCCCCCTTATTAGTATTTAGGGCCCCCACCTACCGCTCAGGGGTGCGGGCCAGGGGGGAGGACATCAGGCCCCCCTTATTTTACTGTAGGGCCCCCATCCGCCGATCAGGGGTGGAGGCCAAGGGGGAGGACATTAGGTCCCCCCCTTATTAGTATTTAGGGCTCCCACCCACCGCTCAGGGGTGGGGGCTGGGGGGGAGGACAATAGGTTCCCCCTCATCATTTTACGTTAGGGCCCCCACCCGCCGCTCAGGGGTGGGGGCTGGGGGGCCCTTTCGTTTAAAAGCACCCACTCGCGCGTCGAGGGGGGACCACATTTTTTTTTTTTTTCACTGTGAGCAGCCACAAGCTGTTTACTAGACCCTAGCGAGTAGGGGCAAAATTTACTAATACTAAGTCATTTTTACTTAGTATTAGTAAATTTGGCTGAAAGACCAATTTAGGTCTTCCAGCTTTTTGGTAGATAACTCCCTAATACCGTGGGAATTAGGGAGTTATCTACTAAGCAGCTGCAAGAGAAGTCTCGGAGTGCCGAAGTCCCGAAATGCTGAAGTTCCGAAATTCCGAACTGCTGAAATGCCGAATTTGCCGAATTTCCGAAGGGTCTAAGTGCCGAAGTGCTGAAGTGCCGAAGTTCCGAAGTTTTGAAGTGCCGAATTGCTGAAGTCCCGAATTGCGAAAGTCACAATTTTCGGAATGCTGAACCGAACCAAAAATTTTCCCCATGCACATGCCTAGGAAAAACTAGTCATGCAATGTTTTTCATAAAACACAAATTACAAAGCATTCTGCAGAGCTAAAATGATACCTAGCAACAATATGCTTCACTTCTCACAAACTTGGCGGGACAACCGCAATAATTAGCTTTGTGGGATAACCGCAAGGCCGGGCAAAAAAACCAAAACATCACAATGCCCCACCCATATGATCTGCCATATGAACTAACGCCAGTACTGCACACAGTGTGTGTTTGCATTAAAAAGCCTGCAGGGACAGGCTATAGACACCAGAACCACTTCATTAAGCTGCAGTGGTTCTGAGGACTATAATGTCCCTTTAATGTGAGGTAAATTGGAAATTAGTGTCACTAATATTATACTAGATTGCCTACGTACAACCAGATGAGGATAATGATGGGCTCTGGCTGCAGTCTTGCTCCACCTGTCTGATATAGAACAGGCTCTCTGGAGGCTGTTTGTAACTGTGGTCAAAAAAAATGTTCTCAGAGAAGCAGCTCCATTTTTGGGGCCTTTTACACAGCTCAAGGTCTGGGCCCCAGGGCCTCACGGTGAGTATGCCCATAAGGCATAAGTCCACCTACATGTTCCACCCATGAGTTCGCTCCCAGGGAGTGGAGTGTGTAGGGGATGTGTTACGTGTTATTGTAGAGGATCTAAAGTATGTGCTTATGGAATGTAGTGTATAGGGATACCAGTTTGTGTAGGTGATGCAGTGTGTGTGTAGTGGAAGCAGTATGTGTGTTAGGGATGTGTGTAAGGGATGTATTGCATGCTTCTGGATGTGTGTAAGGGATGCATTGTGTGAATCTGTGTTTGTATGAGTAAGGGATGCAAGTTGTGTTTCTGTGTATGTAAGGGATGCAGTGCGTGTGTCTGTAAGGGGTGCATTGAGTGTGTGTAAGATATGCATTGTGTTTGAGTGTGTTTTTCTGTGTATGCAAGGGATGCATTGTGTGTTTCTTTATGTAAACATAGAAATATAGAATGTGACGGCAGATAAGAACCATTCGGCCCATCTAGTCTGCCCAATTTTTTTAAAATACTTTCATTAGTCCCTGGAATTATCTTATAGTTAGGATAGCCTTATGCATATCCCACGCATGCTTAAACTCCTTTACTGTGTTAACCTCTACCACTTCAGCTGGAAGGCTATTCCATGCATCCACTACCCTCTCAGTAAACTAATACTTCCTGATATTATTTTTAAACCTTTGCCCTTCTAATTTAAGACAATGTCCTCTTGTTGTGGTAGTTTTTCTTCTTTTAAATATACTCTCCTCCTTACTACTACTGTGTTGATTCCCTTTATTTATTTAAATGTTTCTATCATATCCCCCTGTCTGGTCTTTCCTACAAGCTATACATGTTAAGTTCCTTTAACCTTTCCTTGTAAGTTTTATCCTGCAATCCATAAACCAGTTTAGTAGCCCTTCTCTGAATTCTCCTTCTGGAGATATGGTCTTCAGTACTGGTGTGTTTACATGGTGTGTTTCTTTGTGTGTAGGGATGCATTGTGTGTTTCTGTGTATGTATAGGGATGCATTTTGTGTGTGTGTAGTGTAAAATAGAGAGTTTGTGTGGTAGGATAGGGGCTGAGTCCTACCAACCCCTTTGTGCTTCTCTTTCCCTACGTCCTCAGCCTCTCTCCCCTCTTGTCCTTTAGAGCTCTCCCCTCCCGTCCCTTAGAGTGCTCTCTTACCCCCCATCCCTTGGTGCTCCCCTGTCCCTAAGTGCTCTCTCCTACCCCCCATCCCTTAGAGCTCTCTCTTGTCCCCTATCCTTCAGAGCTCTCCCTTCCATCCCTTAGAGCTCTCCCCTGCTCCTTAGTGTCTCTACTCCCCTATCCCTTAGTGATCTCTCCTATCCCCCACCCCATTAGTGGTCTCTACTCTCTTTCCCCCCTCCCTTAAAGGCCTCTCCTCTTCTACCCCCCTACCTCCCTTAGTGGACTCTCCTCTCCTCCCACCCTTAGTGGTCTCTCCTCAACCCCCCCCTTCCCATAATGGTCTCTCCTCCATGCCACCTCCATTCCATAGTGGTCTCTCCTGCACCCACCCACCTCCCTTAGTGGTCTCTTCTGTCCCCACACCTCTAGTGGTCTCTCCTCAACGCCCCTCCCACATAGTGTTCTTTTCTCCACCCCCCACCTCCCTTAGTGGTCTATTCTCCACCCCTCCTCATAGTGTTCTCTCCTCCACCCCCCAACATCCCTTAGTGTTCTCTCCTCACCCCCCTCCCATAGTGGTCTCTCCTCACTCCCCCCCTCCAATAGTGGTCTCTCCTCCACCCACCCTCCCTCCCATAGTGGTCTCTCCTCCACCACCCCTACCTCCCTTAGTGGTATCTCCTCATCCCCCACCCAAAGTGGTCTCTCCTCCACCGCCCCCCCCACCTCACATAGTGGTCTCTCCTCCTGTCAGTCTGGCCAGAGGAAACAGATGCTGTACTGCGGTCTGGAGTGGAGCTCGACCACGCTACACTGAGGGACTGACAGGATGGAGCGCTGTGCGCTTCCCTCCTGCCGATCCCTCATATCTTGTGCCCCCAGACTGGTGGGCCCTAATGGACGCGCCAGCCCGGGCAGTACTGCAGCCACCTGGGGCTCTCTATAGTAGCTTATAGGATGCACCGGCACTGGATAACCGCAATAATTAGCTTTGTGGGATAGCTTCACCTCTAGTGGCTGTCTACTAAACAGCCAATAGAAGGACTTCCGGGTCATTAGATGACTTTTGGTCGCCCGACGGTGGACGTCCTCATGCATGAGGACACCTACCATCACCCAAAACTAATGCAAGCATCCTAATGCAAATTTAATTTTCAAAAATCTGTGCATAGACAGTAGTCTGACTCATATGAATTACAACCCATCACAAATCTGTTTCTTTATATAACCGCATCAGAATATTTTAATGGATTTGAAAAGATTAGGTGGGAATTATATCATTTTTAACGATTAGTGAGTAATCCAGATCAAGAAGACATGTTACAACAATTAATATTTTTTATTTAAATCCACAAATTTAACATCAATCACAGATTTAAGTCCTCTTAAGAACGTAAAGAACTGTACAAGTTAAGGCTTTAATTTATCAAGTTTATTTTGCTTGCTGTAGTTTTTATTTTTGTATTTTATTGTCAGTTATGTACTACTCCAATGCAAATAGGTGTATAACCATATAATATATACATATATATATTTACTACAGGGAGTGCAGAATTATTAGGCAAATGAGTATTTTGACCACATCATCCTCTTTATGCATGTTGTCTTACTCCAAGCTGTATAGGCTCGAAAGCCTACTAACAATTAAGCATATTAGGTGATGTGCATCTCTGTAATGAGAAGGGGTGTGGTCTAATGACATCAACACCCTATATCAGGTGTGCATAATTATTAGGCAACTTCCTTTCCTTTGGCAAAATGGGTCAAAAGAAGGACTTGACAGGCTCAGAAAAGTCAAAAATAGTGAGATATCTTGCAGAGGGATGCAGCACTCTTAAAATTGCAAAGCTTCTGAAGCGTGATCATCGAACAATCAAGCGTTTCATTCAAAATAGTCAACAGGGTCGCAAGAAGCGTGTGGAAAAACCAAGGCGCAAAATAACTGCCCATGAACTGAGAAAAGTCAAGCGTGCAGCTGCCACGATGCCACTTGCCACCAGTTTGGCCATATTTCAGAGCTGCAACATCACTGGAGTGCCCAAAAGCACAAGGTGTGCAATACTCAGAGACATGGCCAAGGTAAGAAAGGCTGAAAGACGACCACCACTGAACAAGACACACAAGCTGAAACGTCAAGACTGGGCCAAGAAATATCTCAAGACTGATTTTTCTAAGGTTTTATGGACTGATGAAATGAGAGTGAGTCTTGATGGGCCAGATGGATGGGCCCGTGGCTGGATTGGTAAAGGGCAGAGAGCTCCAGTCCGACTCAGACGCCAGCAAGGTGGAGGTGGAGTACTGGTTTGGGCTGGTATCATCAAAGATGAGCTTGTGGGGCCTTTTCGGGTTGAGGATGGAGTCAAGCTCAACTCCCAGTCCTACTGCCAGTTCCTGGAAGACACCTTCTTCAAGCAGTGGTACAGGAAGAAGTCTGCATCCTTCAAGAAAAACATGATTTTCATGCAGGACAATGCTCCATCACACGCGTCCAAGTACTCCACAGCGTGGCTGGCAAGAAAGGGTATAAAAGAAGAAAATCTAATGACATGGCCTCCTTGTTCACCTGATCTGAACCCCATTGAGAACCTGTGGTCCATCATCAAATGTGAGATTTACAAGGAGGGAAAACAGTACACCTCTCTGAACAGTGTCTGGGAGGCTGTGGTTGCTGCTGCACGCAATGTTGATGGTGAACAGATCAAAACACTGACAGAATCCATGGATGGCAGGCTTTTGAGTGTCCTTGCAAAGAAAGGTGGCTATATTGGTCACTGATTTGTTTTTGTTTTGTTTTTGAATGTCAGAAATTTATATTTGTGAATGTTGAGATGTTATATTGGTTTCACTGGTAATAATAAATAATTGAAATGGGTATATATTTGTTTTTTGTTAAGTTGCCTAATAATTATGCACAGTAATAGTCACCTGCACACACAGATATCCCCTAACATAGCTATAACTAAAAACAAACTAAAAACTACTTCCAAAAATATTCAGCTTTGATATTAATGAGTTTTTTGGGTTCATTGAGAACATGGTTGTTGTTCAATAATAAAATTAATCCTCAAAAATACAACTTGCCTAATAATTCTGCACTCCCTGTATGTGTCCTCTTTTCCCTCTGTTGGATACCTTTTATCTCTTGATAAATGTAATAAAAATATACAGTTGCTCAAAAGTTTGCATACCCTGAAACCCTTGTGAAATTTTGGAATTGATTTTGAAAATATTACTGATAATGCAAAAAAATTTATTTTATTGAAGGATAGTGATCATATGAAGCCATTTATCATCACATAGTTGTTTGGCTCATTTTTAAATCATAATGATAACAGAAATCACCCAAATGGCCCTGATCAAAAGTTTACATACCTTTGAATGTTTGGCCTTGTTACAGACACACAAGTGGTCTATCCTCCCCCCCCCCCTTCATAGTAACAATAGTGGTCTCTCCTCCACCCCTACATCTCTTAGAGTTCTCTCCTCATCCCTCCCATAGTGGTCTCTCCTCACCCCTCCCCTCCAATCGTGGTCTCTCCTCCACCACCCCTACCTCCTTAGTGGTATCTCCTCATTCCCTCCCAAAGTGGTCTCTCCTCCATCCCCCCCCCCACCTCACATAGTGGTCTCTCCTCCTGTCAGTCTGGGGGCACACAGGTTAAAATGGCAATTAAAGGTTAATTTTCCATACCTGTGGCTTTTTAAATTACAATTAGTGTGTGTGTGGAAATAGTCAATGAGTTTGTTAGCTCTCACGTGGATGCACTGAGCAGGCTATATATACTGAACCAAGGGGAGCAAAAAAGAACTGTCAAAAGACCTGTGTAACAAGGCAATGAAACCTTGTAAAGATGGAAAAGGATATAAAAAACATATCCAAAGCCTTGAAAATGCCAGTCAGTACCGTTCAATCACTTATTAAGAAGTGGAAAATTCGGGGATCTCTTGATATCAAGCTAAGGTCAGGTAGATCAAGAAAGATTTCAGCCACAGCTGCCAGAAGAATTGTTCTGGATACAAAGAAAATCCCACAGGTAACCTCAGGAGAAATACAGGCTGCTCTGGAAAAAGACGGTGTGGTTGTTTCAAGGAGCACAATGTGACGATAGTTGAACAAAAATGTGCATGGTCGAGTTGCCAGAAAGAAGCCTTTACTGCGCCAATGCCACAAAAAAGCCTGGTTACCAGGGCCGGCCTTAGAGGTGTGCGAGCTGTGCGGCCGCACAGGGCGCCATGGAGCAGGGGGCGCCCTGCGGCCGACACAGCTCACACATGGCCGGACGGAATAAAAAAAAAAAAGAACTGTCTGCCTGTGTGTGTGTCTGTGTGTCTGTGTGTGTGTGTGTGTGTGACTGCCTCTGTGTGTGTGTCTGTGTGTATGACTGTCTGCCTGTGTGTGTGTGTGACTGTCTGCCTTTGTGTGTCTGTGTGTATGACTGTGTGTGTGTCTGTGTGTATGCCTGTGTCTATGACTGTCTGCCTCTGTGTGTGTGTGTGTGTGTGTGCCTGTGTGTGTGTGTGTGTGTGTGTGTATGACTGTCTGCATGTGTGTGTGCATGACTGCCTGTGTGTGTGTGTGTGCATGACTGCCTGTGTGTATGACTGTCTGCTTGTGTGTGTCTGTGTGTGCGTGACTGTCTGCCTGTGTGTGTGACTGTTTGCGTGTGTGTGTGTGTGCGTGACTGTCTGCCTGTGTGTGTGTGGATGTCTTCCTGTGTGTGTATGGCCGTCTTACTCTGTGTGTGTGTGCGTGTGTGTGTATCACATACAACCAATACACGCATATCACACACTGTTAATACACCCATTACAAATATACACACACAGAGAGACAGCATACATATCACACACAGTCATCACACCTACTATCACAGACAACACAAAGACACAGACAACACAAACATTACATCATACATGGATGACGAGTTGGGGGCGCTGTGAAGATTTTTCAAACAGGGCGTCTAAAGGCCTAAGGCCGGCCCTGCTGGTTACAATATACCTGACAACACCTTGACATGCCTCACAGCTTCTGGCACACTGTAATTTAGAGTGACAAGACCAAAATAGAGTTTTATGGTCACAACATGAAGCTCTTTTTTTGGAGAGGGGTAAACAAGGCCAACAGTGAAAAGATTACCATCCCCACTTAGGGTTGCCACCTGGCCGGTATTTTACCGGTACAGTCAGCATTTGAAGCTGTGTGGTCAGTGCCGGTATTGCAAAAATACCGACAATACGATTGCCAGTATTTTTCTTTGAAGAGAATGTGCTGCAATATCAGCACCGGCCACCAGGGTGTGCAGTGCTCTAAGGCCGTGCTAGCAAAACTTGTTTCTGCTAGAGCTGTGTGGAGAGGACTGAGATGGGATTGCTGCATGTCTCTGCCCTCTCCACTAACAGAATACACATGGGAGGAGTTGGAGGAACAGGAACTACAGGACAAGCAGATGGAAGATTGGCAGCAGGACCTGAGTCCAGAGAGCAGGTATGTGTGTGTGTGTGTTTGTATTCAGCAGTGTGTGTGTGTATTTGGCAGTGTGTGTGTGTATTCGGCAGTCTGTGTGTATGTATTTAGCAGTCTGTGTGAATGTATTCAGCAGTCTCTGTGTGTGTGTACTCAGCAGTCTGTGTGAATGTATTCAGCAGTCTGTGTGTGTATTCAGCAGTATGTGTGTGTCTATTCAGCAGCCTGTGTGTGTGTACTCAGCAGTCTGTGTGAGTGTATTAAGCAGTCTGTGTGTGTATTCAGCAGTCTCTGTGTGTATTCAGCAGTCGGTGTGTGTGTGTGTGTTCAGCAGTCGGTATGTATGTATTCAGCAGTCTCTCTGTGTGTGTATGTATTCAGCAGTGTGTGTGTATGTATTCAGCAGTCTTTGTGTGTATTCAGCAGTCTGTGTATTCAGCAGTGTCTGCATATTTGGCAGTTTGTGTGTGTATTCAGCAGTCTCTGCATATTTAGCAGTCTGTGTGTGTACTCAGCAGTCTATCTGTGTATGTGTATTCAGCAGTCTGTGTATGTGTATTCAGCAGTCTACATATGTGTGTGTATTTAGCAGTCTGCGTGTGTGTTTGTATATGCACATTTAGACAACACATTGCTATACACACACATACACTCATCCAGACAGTATATACACACACACTGCCTCACATACACAATACTATACACACAGTTAGACAAAATACAAACATTGTAAGTATTTTATTAGTGATTTAGGGAATTTCTGCTTCCAAATGTTCTCGTTCTATGTACATTGTGTGCTATGATGTCACGCATGTATAATTAATTATACAAATTAGCATGGCCGGTATTTTTTTCCAAAAAAGGTGGCAACCCTATGCCCACTGTGAAGCATGGTGGTGGCTCACAGATGTTTTGGGGTAGTGTGAGCTCTAAAGGCACGGGGAATCTTGTGAAAATTGATGGCAAGATGAATGCAGCATGTTATCAGAAAGTACTGGCAGACAATTTGCACTCTTGCACAGGGAACGCTCTTGGACTTTTCAGCATGACAATGACCCTAATCATAAGGCCATGTTTACCCTCCAGTGGTTACAGCAGAAAAAGGTGAAGGTTCTCAAGTGGCCATCACAGTCTCCTGAACTTAAAATCATGAAGCCACTCTGGGGAGATCTCAAACGTGCGGTTCATGCAAGACGACCATTCATGGGCATTTTGCCAAAACAAATGGGCAGCTATACCACCTGCAATAATTAGAGGCCTAATAGACAACTAATACAAAAGACAGTGCGCTGTCATTGATGCTAAAGGGGGCAATACACAGTATTAAGAACTAAGGGTATGCAGACTTTTGAACAGGGGTGATTTCATTCTTTTCTTTGTTGCCATGTTTTGTTTTATGATTGTGCCATTCTGTTATAACCTACAGTTAAATATGAATCCCATAAGAAATAAAACAAATGTGTTTTGCCTGTTTACCCTGTTTACTGTGCACATAATATTTATATATATTTTTTTCCATTGATGATACTCAGTCACTGCAAACAGCAGCATAGATAACTTTTGGACTACCCAAACTATTTTCTTTTTCTTTTTTTTTTGACAAAGTGATTTAGCCGAACCAATTTTTTCTCCCATTCACAAGTCTAATAATAATAATAATCCAAAATAATGATAATACACTTAATTTAACAGTCTACTAAAGTAACAAAGTTCAATATCACAGCTGACTTTATATAAAGAACCCAGACATTTCATGAAACATGCAAGCATTGAAAATGTACTTTTTTTACAAAATTGAATTTTGAAAACACACAGAAAAGAACTGAATAAATAGAGCTTGTGTGATAATGAAACATAATCTTACCTGCCTCTTCTTCTCTGATAACCACAGATATAAGGTCTAGAAACAAGGTACAAAGAATCACAACTATTAAATATTGTAAGCAGTTTGAACAGGTCTTAATTTGCAGCATATCTATTTTTATTCTACAATCTACTTACTAACAATATACCTGTGTTCATATCTACCTATCCATCCACCTCTCTGCCTTTGTAAGTTTGTCTATTAAGTCCATATCAGTGCATAGATGCTCTAAATGAGAAACAATGAAAATGGCGAGCACGGCAGAGTGTTTTTTAAGTTCTGCTAGTCTACTGAACATTTTGTTACACACATATTCATGTTTATAATAGCCATAGTAGTGCTCCCTCCTATCTGCTTTATGCATATGAATAAATATATTAAACTATGAAATGCATTTAAGTTATTATAAGTTATTGAAGATTGAGTGTACTTAACAACCGCCAAAAACATTTTTTTGCTACAGCTTATAGTCAGTGTCTCCAAATCTCAGACACAGACTATTATATTTCACAAGTACTTGAAACACATTGTAGAGCTTTATGGACAGGTTTGTATTAATTGATTGGATTACTTTAATTGGCTTTCCATGACATCCTCATTACTTTATTTAATTTTTTTTTTTTTTTTTGGTATGGCACAGGGTGCATAGAATGCAAAGTAGAAGACAGTGGAAATTGGTGGAAAGTTGTAATAGAAAGACAATCACTATCGAAACCATTGTACGCAGCAGGAACATTTCATTATTGACTCTACCACTTTTACATCTCTGCAGCACTTTTCAGAACACAACTGTTTGATATATCTTCCCCCAGAGACTTTAAGGTAAAAACATTGATTGCATTTTCTAAATAGTAAGGTCCAACATCCAAGTAAATGAATGATTTAGTTAATAATTTAAAATCACCTGATGGGTTGAATAAAATGAGAATGACAACAGTCGACAGAATGCAGGCAGTCAACATCCAGAGAAGTGATCTCAGATATCTAATCTCAAACAAAGAACGAAGGCTTATTAACATTTCGGCCGCCAAATTGTAAAACCAATGGTAATATGTCCCCCAGATTCCGGGAGAACACCCCGCACCTGAAAATTAGCAGATGAGAAATTGTCATGGCTACTCTATGCAACTTACTAAGTATATGTCACAAATATGTAGAGAGGAAGGACATGTTATTGGATCTTAGAATGGCTGTGTTTAACGTAAATATGAGAGAAAGGATAACTGTAAAACAAGCCAAAATCAGGATACCAGAAATATGAAAATACGATATGACTAACCAAGTCAGGATTTGAGAAGTCAGAAGAGTCTGTGAACAAGTCATTATCGAACAACCAGAAAATCAGGGAACAATATAAGAGGAGCCCAAAAATGGGCAATGACAAATGGAGCTATATGGTTTACACTAATTGGTCCATGTCACCCCTGCGACTCCAAAAAGTGTGGGAATGGGGTTGCAGGGATGACGTGGCACTGGCAGAATAGGAAATGACTTGAGAAGTAATATAAATAAGTATGAATAGAGGGGCATGCAGTGTATAAGTATGCTTCATAGCATTAGCCTCCCAATTGGTGCATTCGGTGTGTTCGGGAAAGCTGAAGATAACCAGGAGGCGGTATTTCCTGACACAGCAACTCGCTCATTAAGGCCAGAGCAGTGCATTGATAGAGGAAGTAATGCAACAGATATGAACAATAATTCTGTTCTGTTTTGTTTTTGTTCTTTTTAAATAATCTCTTGTCTTAAGTCTAGTTTGAAGAATATTTCTAGAGACTTTTCATTGCATTATATATTCAATGATGACTTTTTCTGTATCTTGAAAAATGTTTTACTCAGTACAATGTGGACTTACCTCAGAGAGTTTTTTGTGGTCCTAAAGGCATTTATTCTGCGTTGCTCCCTTAACAGGCACATTTACAACATTGTGGAATTTGCATTTAATCTGAATAATACCTATGAAAACAGAGAAATTAATACCTATGAAAACAGAGAAATATCATAGAAAACCAAATGCAGAATAAGGATTATTACAGTAGATGATGACCTATATGTTGGTGTAAAAGTAAAAGGTAGGAAGATATCCAGTTGTGGCAAAGTTTTGAATTAAAAGAAGCCTGGCATGTGCTTTTCATCAGACAGTATTTGCTAGCAGAGTCAAAGGTCACCACTTTCCAGGGCATGCCAAGCTGCCAGACATGCAAAGTTAAATGGAAGATTACAACATTCACATTAAAACTTTTTTTTCCGTTAATAAAAACACATTATAAAAAGATATCTTTTGAGTACAGAACAGCAACTAGAAGGCCGAGGGATTGGGGCATTGCAAATTTCCCAACGTCTATATAAAGACTTTGCTTCCCAAACTCTTAAAGGAACACTATAGAAATAGGAACACAAACGTTTATTTCTATCGCTATAGTGCCCTGCTAAATGTTTTGATCCCTGGACTCCACTTGTAAGGAGGTAAAATGCACTTTGATTTACCTGTTCTCCCACCGGGCACCAGTCTCCGCATTTCTGTCCTACCTCCTTGGCTGAGATTATTGAGATTGGTGATCTCAGCCAATTCAATGCTTTCCCATTGGAATGAATTGGGAGGCTAGTGTTCAAGCATGGCAAAACCAATCACATGGTCTATATGAACTCTAGCACTCTCAGACAATCACTGTCATCCAGGTTGGACAAAAATGGTATTGCATTATCAACACAGCCAAGGAGAGGGACAGTCTCCGGATACAAGGAAGATCTCTAGTGTCAAACTGTTCCGAAACATGGGATGTTGCTCAGGCACCCTATCCAATATAAAACCTATAGCTTGCAGCAGAGACTACATTGTTTAGAGAGTCCCTTTAATGCATATATTCTTATCTGTTTTACCATTGGCATATGAATGATATTGATACTAAATAGCTACATCAGGTTAGTTTTGCAAAGACCCTGAAAATGATACTATAGGTTGTTTCAATTTCATTATCTTTTGCAAAGATCCACTCAAGTGGCATGCTCACTTGAGGTGTGATGGCAGATGGAGTTGCTAAATGGAGATATACTTACCCGAAGCCCTCACTCATGAATGCATCATCTTCCTTCTGGGGTCAGTCTTCACCTCCTGGTACTTCATCTGGCAGGAACCTGCATCACTGTTTTGTGCATCCACCAAAGTATAAAGCAGTGGTCTATGGAGATCTAGCAAGACTGCCTGATACTCCATAGAACTTCTAATGAGATCTCTAACTGGATGTCTTCCCGTTTTCTGAAGCTTTATATTTCTAAGACTTAACTCAAATAGTCCTCTTCCCTCAATCTCACTGCAAGTCAATGGGACACTTATTACTCCATCCCCTCAAACTCACTGCTTTGGTATTACCTTCAACTCAAGTCTTACCATTTCTCCTCACATCGATTCTGTCTCCATGTCCTGTAACTTCCATCTTAAATATATTGCCCGCATTCACCCTTTTCAAATTCAAGATACGACTAAGGCACTTATTGCTACACTCATCATTTCCCGACTTGACTATGGCAACTCACTAATCATCTGCCTCACAAATACCTAAATTGTCCCATTTTTAGATGAATGCTGCAGCCAGGCTCATCTTCCAGACTGGCTGCTATTCCCACACCTCACCCTTTTGCCAGTCATTACATTGGTTTCCTATACCCTTCAGGATTCAATTCAAACTGCTAACACTAACCTACAAAGTCCTCACAAACTCCACTCCTCACTACATTACCTCTTTACTCAACAAATATACCCCTTTTTGTTCCCTTCACTATGTAAATGACCTTTGTGACGGACCGCTGGCACTCCGACCGAGTACCTCCGCCAATCGAAGCTCCTAGTGCTCGGTGAGGACTCCAAGCACTCCAACCGACACCATCAGCACTGCAGACCCCACTTCCAGCGATGCAGCTGCGCCGGGGTCTCGCCGTCTCCACCAGTGTGTGTGTATGGGGAGCAGTGTGTGTGTATGGGGGGGCAGTGTGTGTGTATGGGGAGCAGTGTGTGTGTATCGGGTAGTGTGTGTGTATCGGGTAGTATGGGGGGTAGTGTATGTGTGTAGTGTGTGTGTATGGGGGGGCAGTGTGTGTGTGTATGGGGGTATTGTGTGTGTATGGGGGCAGTGTGTGTGTATAGGGGGCAGTGTGTGTGTATGGGGGCAGTGTGTGTGTATGGGGGGCAATGTGTTTGCCCATGGGGGAGCAGTGTGTGTGTATGGTTAGTGTTTGTGTGTCCGGGTGGTGTATGTGTGTGGGAGTGTGTGTATGGGGGCAGTGTGTGTGTGTATGGGGGCAGTGTGTGTGTATGGGGGCAGTGTGTGTATATGGGGGGCAGTGTGTGTGTATGTATGGGAGCAGTGTGTGTATGGGGGGCTTGGTGTGTGTGTGTATGGGAACTTGGTGTGTGTGTATGGGGTGGTGTGTGTGTCAGTTGAGTGTATGTGTGTGGGGTGTGTGTATGGGAGACGTGTGTGTATGGGGGAGAGTGTGTGTATGGGGGCGGTGTGTGTGTATGGAGGCAGTGTGTGTTTATGGGGGCAGTGTGTGTGTATGGGGGCAGTGTGTGTATAGGGGCAGTGTGTGTGTGTGTATGGAGGGCAGTGTGTGTATGGGGGCAGGTGTGTGTATGAAGTGTGTGTGTATGGGGGGCAGTGTGTTGTGTATGGGGCAGTGTGTGTATGGGGGCAGTGTGTGTGTGTGTGTATGGGGGGGCAGTGTGTGTGTATGGGGGGGCAGTGTGTGTAGAGTGTGTGTGTGATAAGGGTAGGGGGGCTTTTTTTTTATAATATATTTTTTTTAATTTAATTCAATATATTGCCCGCATTCACCCTTTTTAAATTCAAGATACGACTAAGGCACTTATTGCTACACTCATCATTTCCCGACTTGACTATGGCAACTCACTAATCGTCAGCCTCAAAAATACCTAAATTGTCCCTTTTTTTAGTCTCTAATGAATGCTGCAGCCAGGCTCATCTTCCAGACTGGCTGCTATTCCCACACCTCACCCTTTTGCCAGTCATTACATTGGTTTCCTATACCCTTCAGGATTCAATTCAAACTGCTAACACTAACCTACAAAGCCCTCACAAACTCCACTCCTCACTACATTACCTCTTTACTCAACAAATATACCCCTTTTTGTTCCCTTCACTATGTAAATGACCTTTGTGACGGACCGCTGGCACTCCGACCAAGTACCTCCGCCAATCGAAGCTCCTAGTGCTCGGTGAGGACTCCAAGCACTCCAACCGACACCATCAGCACTGCAGACCCCACTTCCAGCGATGCAGCTGCGCCGGGGTCTCGCCGTCTCCACCAGTGTGTGTGTATGGGGAGCAGTGTGTGTGTATGGGGGGGCAGTGTGTGTGTATGGGGGGGGCAGTGTGTGTGTATGGGGGGCAGTGTGTGTGTATGGGGAGCAGTGTGTGTGTATGAGGGGGCAGTGTGTGTGTATGGGGAGCAGTGTGTGTGTATCGGGTAGTGTGTGTGTATCGGGTAGTATGGGGGGTAGTGTATGTGGTACCTCCGTTGAAGGATGCTCCTAGCGCTTCCTGAGGACTCCAAGCACTGCAGCAGACACCACAACCACCGAACCGTAGGAGCATATGAATGTTCTCAAGCATGTGAATGCTGTAGACAGTTGAATAGGAACCATACGAATAGGTTTACTCTCCTAGCAGTCAAACTGGAACAGCATACAATAAATCCTTCCCCCAATAATGAGACGACACTTCACTTTGAGGGTTAAAACAGGAACTCCGGTGCTGGCACACCCAGCCTGGTTTTTATTACAGTCTTGCAAATACAGGACCGCCCACAGGGAGGTATAAAACAACCAATCACATCACAGTTACATCCCACATATTCCCTCCCCTTATCCTGAGAGGAAACTCAATTATACATACAGTTAAAACATACTTTCTACCCAACTTTCATAACTCCAAAACCATACATCACATTCACATAAAATTACATATTCACAATCAATCCATTCAGGGGAACAACATATTCAAGAATGGCACAAATCAGACAAGGGGTTCAAAAGTTAGTAAAAAGTCCTTTGTGACTAAATGAAGCATGGCTTTCTGGCCCAAACCAGTTTCAGAGTCTTCTATCCTGGAGATAAGTAATTCAATTATCTCCCAGGACAGACACAAGACTCCATTAAGCACATGGTTGCAAAAAGACACAAAACACTTTAAAATACATAAAGTCACATTTACACATAACACACAGACATTTCACATATCCCCAGATAGCTGGGATCTGAGTGCACATTATTAGATGAATGGCACTCAGATCACACAAATAAGCCTTTCTGCAGGGGAAATAAGCGGTTTAACCTGCAGGGCCATAGTCCAAAGGGAGCAGGCAAGCAACCAGGCCTCCAGTTCACAGTGGGGAGGTTTAAGCACACACAGTGTGTAGTAGTGTGTGTATGGGGGCAGTGTGTGATTGTATGGGGGGCAGTTTGTGTTGATGGGGGTGGTGTGTGTGTGTGTGTAGCAGTGTGTGTGTATGGGGCAATGCTGGTTACTACACTGGGTGTGTGTGACTTGGTGATGTTTGGTGCCTCACCAGTGTGTTTGGGCAGTGTTGGTGTGTGGTGGGTTGGGTGGTGTATTGTGTATGGGGTGGACTGTGTGTGTGGTGGGGGGAGTGTGTGTAGTGCAGGGGCCTGGTTGTGTGTGGGTTATGGTGGCAGTGTGTGTGTATGGGGGGTGTGTGTTTATATGGGGCAGTGTGTGTGTGTATGGGGACAGTGTGTGTATGGGGCAGTGTGTGTATGGGGGGCAGTGTGTGTGTATGGGGGGCAGTGTGTGTGTATGGGGGTGTGTGTGTGTATGGGGGCAGTGTGTGTATGGGGGGCAGTGTGTGTGTGTATGGGGGGGCAGTGTGTGTAGAGTGTGTGTGTGATAAGGGTAGGAGGGCTTTTTTTTTATAATATTTTTTTTTAATTTAATTCAATATAACTATTCATTATGTCCCCCCTCCCTTGTTACCTTTACTGGGGGGGGAGGGAGGACATTTCCCTGGTGGTCCGTCGTCCGTGGGCGATTCATTGGAGGTCCCAGTGGGGAGAGTGAACTCTAGCCCGCGCTCCAGGGCTAGAGTTCACTCTCGCGAGATTTGGAGCGTTGCCGTGGTAACCGCGGCAACGCTCCAAATCTCACGAGAGGAGGACCCGGAGGAGCTGCAGCCTTAGCTTCCGGGACCTCTCTCTCACTCCCTCCCTCCCCCGCCGGCCGCCAGCACAGTGCCTGCGGACCGGGGGGGAGATATCTGATCTCCCCGCCCGGTCCGCAGGCACATTGCAGGGCTAGCACCTGCATGTGCTGCTGGCAGGGGAGAGGGAGACCGGCGGATTTCTGGGGTGGGGGGCTATTGCCCCGTTGCCACCCCCCTGGATCCGCCACTGCTGTTACACAGCTCATTAAACACTCAGAAGTCACTCTGAACCTTGTCTTGTATCGTTCAGTGGGGGCTCCTCGCCAGCTGGTTTGGGGACAAGGAGAAATACAGAGAGTTGCAAATTGATACAAAAGGCCATGGCAAGGGAAAATTCCTGACAGAGAAAATTCCTCACTATCAACTGCAAAATAAGGGGGCCAGTTACCTAAATAGTTAGCTTAATACTATAGTGTCAGTAATACATATTTAAGTTTATGTTCCTTTTAGAAAATTTAAAGTGAAAAATAATGAGTCAGAGAGTTTTAAAAGTCAACTATTGTTGCCTAAATTAGGAAAACCACTCTTAATTTACTTTGATTTCCCAACATATTGCACTTTAGTGAATAACCATGTGATTGTCCTTGAAATTGTATTTAAGTATTTACTTCAGCGGACAGATGACTTGATCTATGAACCCAATTTCTAGTATTTGTATTTTTAAAGAGGTTTTTGAAAGTTTATGAAGCCTACAAATTTATTTTGTTTCAGAGGGAGACGTTCCTATAAATTCCTCACATGTCAGAAGCATTTGACTTAATCCTGCTGTTAGAGAATTGAATAACTGCACAAAATAATACATGTAGCTGTAGGATGACATCTAAAACGAACAAGCCTAGACAAGATTGCCGCTAACCTCCTGTGGGAAATGAAAGAGTTTAGTTGCAGAGATTGTAACGTTTTGAGCTAAATTCCAAGCATTTTACCTGGAGGAAGTCCAACACTGAACATCATCAAGTCAACACCATCCCATCTGTTACACATGGCGGAAGCAGGAGCCGTATCATATTATAAGGATTCCTCTCTTCTGAAGGGATTGGAAACATTATTATGGTAAAGGGAATGGGATTAGTTGCTGGACATCTGACTACCTACTGAACACCTGTTTGAATCAATAGATTAATCTAGTTACACATATTAAGCTAGGAAGGGAGTTTTTTTATTTATTCAGTGACCAGCTTACCTCCCGATTTAGGAGGGACAGTCCCCATTTTGGGCTCAAATCCCTCTGTCCCTCTTTTCTATCCTAATGTCTCTCTTTTGTAGGAGTTGAGTATTTTTGGTGTATCTGGATTTACATCAAAGCTCTACAGCAATATTACTTGCACTCACACCGAAATGTGTGTTTAAACTACTATAACTGTGTTCAGCAATCAGTCTGTGTAAATAAGATACAATGTTTTTCTTCTAAATTGCATTTCAGTTACATACATTGTTATTAGTAAGTCACCTAATTTTTTTGAGAACTGCCCTGCCACTGCCTACACTTGTCTATTTGAGACGTAGGGAAATATGGAACAGTGAGCTATATTGAGCATACTGGACAAGCAAGTGACAAACTTTAAATCAAGTTATCAAGTGACAAAAAACATTCTGAAAAAGCCCTCAATTGAATATTTTTGGATAAGCTCTTCAAATGATCACAGTCACAAACGTCTGAAATAATTTATCTACAAATATTCCCTTAGACTGTAATGGTTACTTTTGTGGATAAATCATTTTAAAAACTTGAAAAACAGATTGTAATCTTTTTTAAAAAAAATTATAATTTTTTTTAAAAAGAGGCCTACGCTGGTATTCTTTTTTCAGCTGAGCTGAGCTACTACCTTTGGTTAGAAAAATGACTTTTCAGTGGGTGGCACGCTAATAGCTATGGAGTAGGTAAGTTTCTAAAAAGTAAAATGATAAATGGACTCAGTACCCAGTAAAGCCACATTTCTGTTGTACATTTTCTTTGCAAATGTAATATCATTAGAGCATGCAACGTATACAACATACATATATGAGCTACGTTTACTGAATTGTGATTAGAATAAAATAGTCCATAATTGAAGAACAGTTTAATTATTTGAAGTGATGTGAATATGTATAAACACAACTGACATGTGTATGCACTTGTTATAGTTAGTAGGTAGTGAATAATTTCACAAATCTGTTGGATTGAACAATTAATTAAGAAAAGTATATATTTGGGAGGATTTAAACTGATATGTAGCACTTTTCTATATTCAAAATTGCCTGATTTAAAAATTTGGGGTTTTGTGATTTTAAATTCAACATACTTATACTATTTTTTTTATTGAATGAATTGAGGAAAAATAATTTAAAAAAATGCAAGCTGTTTAAAAGTTTCTCCTGGCATGACAATTAAATTACTCATCTGTTTATTTAAATTTTTCAGCTTGGATCACAGGTGTTCGTAGGTGGCAAAAAGTTCAAGGGCTTTGGCCCAAGGGTAACTTTTATGGCCTTTCTGACATCTATTGACTTAAGCCCATCCTAAAACCAGTCTAATGCAATGCCCTAAGTCCAACTCTAAACTTTAATGCAGGGGTTGGTGAACTTCAGCTCTCCAGATGTTGTGGACTATGTCTCCCATAGAGCTCTTACAGCTATACTATTGGCAAAGTATCGAGGTAGATGTAGTTAACAACAAAATTCAGAAAACTATATGAACCTATGTTTATTAACTCCACTAAAGCAATAGTAATGTCTCTGCCGGAGATCTTGGAAACCCAGGTTTGAAACCTGGTCAGGTATGCCTTAAGACATCTATTGATTGATATCCTTATATAGTTTAAGCAGGGCCTTTTTCACCTCTCAATATCCCCACTATATAATTGTATATAAGTGCTGCTGAATGTTGACAGTATAAAAATGCTAAACATATTGCCAAGCTATGGTGTGTAAAAGTTAGTGTAAATATAGGAATTAAATCAGAGCTAGAATTCCAGCATATCTAATGATGCAGTGATTGTAATTCCTGATGATCCAGTGAATATATTTATGATTATGGTGATACCGATGTTGCATTTGGTATTACAATAGGAAAAATATTCAAAGTGTAATTGGCTGAAAATGAATCTAGTCTCTAATTTTGAGTTTTTCAATACTTCATTCATCTTCCATGTACTGTGATTCTTGTAGAATAATGTTGTCTTTTGTCTGCTGGGGACTTTCCCTCCCTCCTTATTTGCAAAATGGCTGAAAGATGGTAGCCGAGACTATGCAAAGCGACTGTTTGAGGGTGAGAGCCAGAGGAAACATGGCTAATGTTTAACAAACTGCAGGAGAATATGGGTCATCTAGAAATCTGGTTATTGTACCATTGTAAATTCTCTTCAATAGGTAATTTTCGTTTGCAAGCATCAAACTTGGTCAATGCTTTTATTGTTAGTCCTAGACTCTATTATAATATCTTACATGAATTTACAAAAATTGACAGGATCCCTTTCATTATCAAAGATAAGACTTCAGTATCATGGGAAGATGTTGGGAAAAAAATTAATTACAGAAATTATAAACAATCCAAGCTAAAAAAAATAATGAAATAAGGTAATGGTAATCCAAGGTGTAAGATCTATAGATTTTCTAATTCTCTATCTCAGAGATAGCCAATAACTAGATTTAAAGGCTGTTTTACTCCCGTTATGATTTTGCCAGTCAAATGTCTGGGTATCCACTACGTGGCCATCTATCTTCTGTTTAATCTTTCATCCCTCCCTATTTAGGAGGGACCATTCCTATGTTGGGCCCAAATATCAAGGTCCCTCATTTCTATCCTGATGGCCCTCTTTTCTAAGAACTCAGTATTCTTGGTGAGCCTGAATTAATACCAGAGCTCCACAGCAATAATACTCACAGTCATGTGTCTTTAAACTACAATACATGTGTTTGGAAATCAATCTGCATAACTAAGATACCTTGTTCTTGTTCTAAATTGCATTTTACTTGTATACATTTTTGTTACTAAGTCACCTAAAATTTCTCTGAACTGCCTCATCCTGACCACATCCCCACCAACAGCCCTTAAATTAAAGTGTCCCTTTAAGTTTATTTAAAAGGCTAGAAAGTATGCTCTTTAATGTATCGGGTTATAATGTATATAGAAGAAGCATTATAGAAGAATACATCCATAAAGATTATAGGATGTAGTCCTATATACAAAAATATGGAAACCATGGCTGAAGTTCATAAAGAATAAACCTGGAGGTTAGGAAATAACATGATTGTAGTAGGCAAACTGTTTGGCCATATAATCAACACACAACTCACTACCTGAAACCAGAGGTTCTGGGCCTTGGTCGTGCCAGAAACTGAATAACAGCAACATAGACTGTCTATCCACAGTGGAGGACAGTACAGATGAAATACGGATAGGTTTGAGGCCACTGTACTTCCCCATCTGCTATCTTTATAGTTTTGCTCTCTGACCATGCAATATTCGGTATTTCACTGTGTATGGATATCTTGACTATTCTCCCTTCCCCTGGCAGCAATTGGCCTATTCCGGACCTATTTACAGTTAGTTTTCTACTTTTTAGCTATCACATCTCTTGGGTTAGGCTTGGGTTGTGCACTCAGACCACATAATGTGGCTCCTACAATCACTCCCCACTACTAATTTACAATCAGAGCAACTCTCAGAGGGGTTTAGAACGGTATCACTAAGACATGTATACAACCAGACCACCCCGCGTATTGCATCCTCTACATGTCTATAGACTAATGCATGCTCTTGTAAATAGAATGAACCCAACAATGTATCAATTGTATTAATTGTAAGATTCCAGGTAAAACTATTGTGTGCATATCCCAAATGTCGATAATGTTGAGAATGTTGATGGATCTGATTAATGTGAACAACCTTCCACATATAATATGTCATGTAGCCTTTTGGATAAACAATTACATTTATTTATTTTTAAATTAAAAAAACTAAAAGATTATAGTATGAAGATTATATGTGTTGAACATTCTGTTATTTATAGTGAACTGAAAACCACAGTTTGAAGGCTGCTGTTGGAGAGTTCAATTATTTTAGGTTCAAATATTTTAGCATAAGTCAAGGTATAAAACATTTCGTTTTTGTTTGTTTGTTTTTTATTTTAATAAGGTATATTTTCTAAAAGTGGTTGAAAAATGTTTACATTTGCAAAACTAAGGTCAGAGTTTGACCTCATTTTGAATTAACTTACCAATCTATCTAATGGTACACAAGATCAAAGGAAGATAGGTCATCATTCTCTAAGTTTCCTCTAATCCCCCACAGCAAGTCATTTACTGTCTGCTCATTAACACAGCCTCCCCACGTACTTATCACTTGCTCATTCACCCTGTCACAATCACTCCACATTAATCTATCTGACTCACCTCCTGCTACACTAGCTCTGTAACACTTACCCCTCAACCCTGTCACACTTAACAACCCTCATCCTGCCACACTCAGCCCCTCATCCTTTCTAATTCACCCCCTAACTCTGTCACTCTCGACAACCTCCTCCTCAACCTATCACTGTCAACCAGTGAAAAGAGTCGTCATCATACGCAGTCCCTTACCACACATGAAACACAGTCACACCATAAACACAACACAGAAAGGCCATAAGCAGTCCCCCTCTTCCTCAAATCACAATCACTTTAGAAGCTGCTGCGGTTGCCGGACTGGCAGGTGCATGCTGGGAACTCACTGATTACATGCACCCCTCTCATGTACCAGCTGCCTGCACTTAATACTCCCAACTGAATCTTTGCCCCAGGTAAAATAATGTTTATCTTTGCCACTGGTCTGAGCTACGGGGGATTGTACTTGTAGTGCCATAATGTCAAAGTTAAATGGAAAGCTTTACATTGGTGAAGGAATATATAAGAACCATGTGGCAAAGTTTGTCTTATATTCTATCTTTACAATCACTGACCCTTTTTTTCCCCAATTATCTTTTTTAGACCTGCCTGTTTATTACTTTGGCTTATCATGTTTTCAATGTCAATGTATTTGTGACATTGTCAGTAAAGCAATTGTTCTGATTCTCTTTTTACTTCCATCATCCATCATTCAGAACACATTCGTTTTGATAACAGAAACTCCATTTTATCTAGACCCATGGGATGCTAGTGAAGATACAACTGAATGTGACATTAATTAACACATAACAAGTGAAATTGATATTTATGAGAAAAAAACATAGGTTCCATCACTAGATAAAATCACTAAACACAAAGTAATTGTTTCCCCTCCATTTTAAGAGATCATGGCAGGGATCCCCAGACCTTTACCCTCATCTACTGCTTACTCCTTCTTACCACGGAATTATGGTACAATAAACTTATTGCATACTGCTGTTTCTTTATATGACTTACATGGAACTTCAGCAAGTATTGTTGTTAGAGTGGATTAAAACTCCAGGAACACTTGTGGTTCATGTCTCTTTATTGCAAGAGATACTGTTATGTGATATCTTCTCATATTATGGTGAAGAATATTAAATGGTAATTGAATATGTTATGTTGAGTAACTAAATTGCTCATTATACAGATTTCATCGTCTACTATGGAAATTATACTGACATGTCTGAAGCTATTTTCTTTGTTACATGCTATATAATCACTGATTATGTTATTATTGTATAGATTGTTGTTGTTACAGTACCTTATATTTTTAAGTGATATAGTTATTGCAATTTAAATTTTGTTGGGTTATAAATTTAGGTTGAACCACAAGCATTTATGATCAGAGATAAAATAGTAGGCATCTATTTAAATAAAAGTTGTGAGCATGGTCCTACAATAATTTTACCCACAGTTATCCCTACATTGTGTCTATATTGTTCATTCAAATAAAAACATATCTCTTTTATCTGGTATAGACACTTTATGTTCTATCACTAGGTTTCTTACATGTGCTAGAAACTTTTACACCTGCTCTAACATTCGTTCTGGTGATTTACAT